TGCATCTCGTACACACACGGTATAGATTAGTAGCTTTAGTTCCAGCTAGGGAACGAAATTGGGTAGCTATTTTATTAAGCACAGCCTGATTCGGGACGTTTTGTGTCGCGATTCTTTGTTACCTTCTGGGTCAAAACAGGTTTAGATTCTTCACTTTTCTCTGCAGTTCGGCTGTGTCGTATTAGATGATTCCGCAAGGTGCCGTTGCCGTAAATGGTGAAATCAACACTGGATTGGCGCACATGTAACCCTGACGTTATATGGTGCCAAATGCAATGATACTTGAATATATTATGCTAACGGGGGGTGCCCTAATTCCGACCCATCCCTAATACCGAACTAGTTTGAAAAATCCTTGTTGCGGCGTTATGCATGGGAGCACGTGCCTAAAAATAATCACAAGAATGGACTATGTTTTTGTGTTGATATCGGCAATCTCACAAAGTTTGTTTTAGTTCCTACACTCCGACAACAGACGAGTGAAAAATCTGTGTGAATTCGACGCTTGTTCGGGGGTTGACGAGCGTGTCAAAAATGCAGGTTTTGCTTTTCAAACAGCCACTTTGGAGCAAGTCGCGTAATCGTAAAAAGAGGACTTGTTTGGGACAGAAAACATTTGTAGATTGTTTTAGTCATAATATGTGTATTATTATTTCTAAACTCTCTTCTCAGATCGACCTGTGTTAAACACTAGGTCGGAATTAGGGCACCCCTGTTGCGATAGAACGTTCCACCGGCAAACTTTAAAGTGACCAAAAAACTGCCGTGCGTTTCGTGAACCATTACGATTGGGTGCAAGCCGCTACACTCAAGTGAAATACACAGCTGTGCAGCTTTAATCGTTGTGATCTTTATCTGTCAATATTATATCTCATGTTGCGCGGGTTTTTGGTCAGATAATCTATTACCAAAGGTCTATGCGCTTGCATGGAACATAGCACGGAATTAGGGCACCCCCCGTTACAAATACGAATTACGTAAACACAACTGGAATCCTATACACATTTATACTTAGCGCCTTGAATCTTTCATAGCCTTGAATCTCCACAGTATCTAACTTTCCAATAGCCAGTAGAGGATTTTATTTCAATGCAGATTCATCAGGATTCAAACCAGTCCACTACAATTCGCTGGAGAAGCAACGTGTTATCTACTGTTTTATATGGCTTCAATCAATATATACTTGAATATCATGACATTCATTAACATTTTTAATTTTTGATGCATGATTGAAAATATAAAATGGAAATTGTCCTGTTTGGTAAAAGTCTACAATGTGAAATTATATGGATTTTTCACAATCTTGTTGTCTCTTGAGAACAAGATTGTTATGGCGGATCCTACAAGAAGTATTAAAGTAATGTGTGTGACGCATTCTCATCTATCCTGTGAATAATAATGAGAAGTTTATTACAAATTCATGCCCGGGGGGGGGGGGGGCTAATTGCAGATTACAAACATAAAAGAACAAAGAAACGTACTATAAAACTAGAATTCCGAGATCTCATACCTCCATGAAATATGATCTTGATATGTAAATGTAAATTTCTTCTTTAATTGTGCAAATGACCCCTGCATTAACATGATATATGCATCGTGATGTATGTTAACTTTTGATTAACCTCATTTGCATAATTTGCATTTAATCATGTACATCTCTCTCTCAGCTACCTACACACCAAAAATAATGAAAATATGTTGTTCCTGTCTGGACTTATTGGCTTTTAAACATTTCGCCAGAAAGTACCCTGCAGTTCCAGAACAAGCTGCTAGGGGGCCCAAACTCATATGACTTCTTCCCAAGCACGAGAGCTACCTTCCATCAAAATTTCATGACCCTAGCATGTCCAGATCGCGAGATATCAAAACCGGAAGTTGCGCTGCAGTACCAAGGGAAGCCACTAGGGGGACCAAAATCTAATCATTTCTAGTTTTCGCCACACCCTACCAACACACCAAGTATGAAACCAATCCATCCAGGCGTTCTTGAGTTATCTTGTTGACCAACAGACGGACGGACAGACGGACAGACGGACGGACAGATAAACGCAACTGAAAATATAACCTCCATGACACATTTCATGGAGGTAACTAGAAAGGCCAATATTTGCTTTGGAGCAAATACAGCGATGGGTTCACCACATTTTACGACATGGCAGGGAAAGAATGAGAAACACAAGGGAAAACAATGATTTACATTGATATAACTATAATATGAAGTAACATACAACTAAAACAACAGTTGGATAGCTATTCCCTACTTTATTGGTTAGGATTTTTAATTGCATAATGCAAACTGTTGATTTTCAAAATAAATAAAAAAACGTTCATGCCCCGCATTCCAATGCTGGAGCAGAAAAGCTTGAAATACCTACCAAAACACTTGAATAAAGACATACTGTCAGTATGGAAATGCTCTGTGCAGGTGTTAATCAAGTTAAATCCCAACAGCCAATCAGCAAGAAGTATAGAGGAAAGCTGCATGCCTATTGGTTGATGCCCTGCATTCCATTGTGATGACTCATGCCCAAACGTGGTAAACAAGGCCATTAACACAGTAATACATTTGCTATAACACAGCCAAAAAACTCAAATAAAACCATTCTAAAAGCCTGTATCACAATAATTTAAAAAACGCCTAGGGGTATTTGCCCACTGTACCTCCATACCAAATTTCAGGACCTTAGGCCCTAAAATGAAGAAGCTGAATCCATTTAAAAAATGGCAGGAGGAGAAGAAGGAGGAGAATTCGAAGGAGGAGAAGAAACATCAGAAAAAACAATATGGGTTCACCACCACTTCGTGGTGTGGTGAACCCATAAATATAACCTCCATGACACATTTCATGGAGGTAAATATAACCTCCATGACACATTTCATGGAGGTAATAACTAAAATCTACATGATAAAAGGTAGTTGTCTAGACCTATAGCTATGTCTAAAACTATGTCTAAGGGGTTTGACTTCTCTTTTTTAGACCATGGAAGACGTAATGTCCCACCTTTTCTAGAATTAGTGGGTTTTGGGAAGTTAAAAGAAGAATAGTTTTTTCTTGGTCTGTAAGTTTAGTAAAATTGGGATAAATTGTAGAAGTTTGAATAGATAACTCATTTCGAGCGTTGCTATGAAAGGAAGAATTTGAGATAAAGTGTATTTCGTCTTCCACAGCCTTTGCATTACAATATTTACACATTCTTTCACATCAATTGCAATGTCCATCTTGATCCCCAATAAAGAGCGTGCGTCCCTGTACATCTGACAGTGCCAAGGTCCGTATTTAGCCGGCCACAAGAGTCGTATCTGGAATAACAGTGAAAAGTTATTGAAAACATAAAACAACCAGAATGCCATTGAATGTTCGTAGCTTCGTTGAAAAATGATGTGGAGGCGATGTAGATGCACCTTATGTACTCACCATAACCAGTAGGAGTTGTGAAGCCCGGTTACAGTTTTGTCATTTCAACTCTCTTGACTTTGGAGAAGGCAGACCTTTTCAACAGGAGGTGACAAATCTTCACGAAGATCAGAAAACAAACAACAAGAAACACGACTACAGAGGGAGGTGACATGGAGCCAACCATGGGCGTTTCTGCAAAAGAACATAAGCAAAGACTGATGAATGTACAGAAATACAGAAACCCATTGTGATGATGGAACCATGATATTGATACTCAAGATGATTAAAGATGATTGATGAATTAGAAAAGGATGCATTTTTATTTCGCAGTTTACTTACCAGCCGATGATACTGTTATGGACCCAAGAACTCCGACTGGAGTTATATTTTTCCTGCATTGGTCTGGGTCTGCCCGCCTGAGAAGTAATGCAATAGGGCATTTAGAGCTTCATTCAGCATCTGTCAACAACGCTAAAATATCAGCCATATTTTAGCTTCATGTAGGTATTTCCCTTGTCAAAATTGCAGGCACGATGTATTTGAATTGCACCCCTAGCGTCATATGGGTAACTACGGTATGACAGCAAATTTTTGCATGCACATAACATACGCATACAAATAGATATTAGTAGCTGCATAGCTGCATTAACTTCTTCATTAACTTTATTAACTAATCTAACTTTATTAAGTTAGATTAGATTAACTTTATTAAGTTAGATTAGATTAACTTTATTAAGTTAGATTAGAAGAAAAGGAACTACGGTATCTCTTTCCATAGTAGCACTTTTCGGTGGCTTCCCTTTGAGCGTTTCCCCAATAATGCATTTCGTACAACACACAACTATGTCAGTAAGAAATCCATATCCTTGAAGATGACAAACCCTACCTTGAAGGGTCTACAAGCCTGTACACCACCCCTCCCTCGTGGCTGGTGCTGGCAAAGTCAGTGGCCAGCATGTATAGTTCACCTGTGTAGGGAAGGGAATGGGTGGATTGGGGAAATGTAGCTGGGGACAATGTCGTGAGATTATCTTAAATTATCTTAAAAGGTTTTTAAGCAATTACATGATACTATTCCTGGAAATTTTTAAACATTACCATTAAACCCACAACAATATAAAACTTTCATTCTTACCTGCCTCATCCTCTCCAAAAGACAAGATGTTTGGAACATATAACCCCCGTACACCATTGTTGCATGTGTCGTCCCCTCCTACACAGACCACTCTATTGTTCCACGCACCAGTCTTGGCATCCTCCGTCAGAGAGAAGAGTAAACTGTACATCAAGAAGCAAGTTAGACATGGGCAACGATCACGGATATGCTGACAGCTATTCATCCCCATCTTCATCCGTTATGGAAGATCGTAACGTTTTGACTGGCTACCGAATCAACATCCAAACACTTACATGCAGTCAGTTAAAACGCTACGATATTCTACCCCAACATCTGCTTGGAGAGTCTGTTTGCTTCTATAGGGCAGACGTGTCAACATAACTTAGATGTATTGAAACGTTCAATCCAGTAAGTAACTACGATCCGAATCTGCTACGATCGAAAGGATGTACATTGACATTGTCACTAACCCTCTTGTGAACAGAAAAAATGTATTTCAAATTCCTTCTTACGTCCAATACTCAAACTTATCCTTCTCAACTTTGTTTGTTCTTTACAAACACACGCTCTGAGTGAAGAAAATCACGTAACATGAGTTACTAGTATCACCAGAAATCTGTATCTTACCCAGTCCAGAAGTCTCCATAAATGTACTGTCCCCTCAGATTCGGAAAGAGACAGCCCCTGTACATGTACCCTCCTGTAATTGACTTTCCAACACTGTGGCTGTAGACGTGTATTGGCGGAATATGGTTGGCTGAGGAACGGAAGAAAAATTCTGCTTCATTGAAAGCTATATGCATTTTAGCTGTTGGAAATAGTGAGTACTGTAACTGAGTAACTGAGCTACATTGGGCATTGAACCATGGCGTGGGGGTTCACAGGTGAAGTACAACGCGCCCACCCAAATGCTGGCAAAGAATTAGCACACGTTCACAAACAACATGCAACAATGACATTCTGGTAGTCTAACATATATCTGTAGTTCACTCTTACCCAACTCTGGAGTTTTGCAGAGTTTTTTGTCAAAGCATTCGAAGCCCTCGAACGCACGCCACCCGTAGTTCCCTCCCTTCTGAATGATGTCAACCTCTTCCCATTTGCCCTGTCCGACATCTCCGCAGAAAATGCGCCCTCGGCCCTTCCCGGTTTCCGGGTCGCCTCTGTCCATGGAGCACCTCCAGGAGTTCCTCTGGCCGTAAGCGTAGATCTCGGGCCTGACGTTTGGCTGGCCGACAAACGGGTTATCCTCCGGCACGACGTAAGGGACGCTGTCGTCTGGACGGTTGATGTCGATCCTAATTACCTTTCCCAGGAGCGAGGACCTATCATAAAACGAAAAGGTATGTAATACATTAGACATTGTAACCTTCGCACAAGAGGCGTCTTCTTTGGTTTCTTGCACATGCCCTGCAGAATAAGGATCGTTTTGAACTTTTGAGCACAATTATCATGGCAAAAACATGATTTATATATATATATGATTAAAGATCTTACAAGTTCTGTCCGTTTCCTCTTTTCCCCCAGGGGTCTCCTGCCTTTCCGCCGTCACCAGTGAAGGCGTACAGATACCCGTCCACCCCGAACAGCAGCTGACCTCCGTTATGATTTCCCGCCGGTTCGTCCAGCTCAAGAATGACCTTCTCCGAGGCGCGATCCACCTGGTTGGCGTCGTGAGATGCTATCCGGAACTCACTGATGCGAATCTTCTGATGTTTGTCGTTTCCAATGGAATAGTAAACAAAGAGTCTACTGTTGTGCTTAAAGTCCGGATGAAACGCCATCCCGAGAAAACCGCGTTCATCGCCAAGACTGGTGGATGTCAGAATATTCTTAGACAGGTCTAGAAACGGCGTTTCTACCTTACTGAAATCAGACAGATACACGTGCACCTTTCCGTACTGTTCACCGATAAAAACACGGTGGGAGCCGTCTCCGGCATGGACCAGGACTGTGGGGTTCCTCAGACCGACCACTAGCTGCTTGAAGCACAGGCACTTCTCCCCACCGGTGCCCTGTATGGCTTTTTGAATGTCGTTGGAAAAATTCTCATTAGTGATAATGTCAGGATAACAGTAGTCCATGTCGGTAATTTTGGTCGACTCACAGAACTTTTTGGGATCTGACGGTGAGAGTGTTTTCCGCACGGATGGGTCAACTGTTGTTGAGAGGAGGGCATTGATGCACTCACTGGGTATGGAGGAACAATATTTCGGGCATAGACCTGGCAGCGGCTTTTTCACCTGTGAAAAAAGGATACACGATTGGTAAACTCTCAGGAGCATTAAAATATGTCACATACATGTATATACACGACGGCCATCTAGTGTTGGTGTGATAATGACTGTCTTTAAATTCATGATCATAGAAACGGAATCAGATCAAGAAGAGCTTCGTTAATCTGGTTTTCCTTATCACTGTGGTAAGCTTAAGAATACTGCCAAGCAACACAAACCCTTGTTCATGCAGATTCCCCAAATAATGTCCCAACAAATACGAGAAAGATTACGTAAACGTTACCAGAAGAAGCCGTTTACCTGAGTGGTTTCCAGGTCGTACAAATGGGAGGCGTAAGGCGAGCACTCCTGACAAAGGATGTTCGTCACGTGCTTCTCACACACTGTCCGGGAACTCTGCGGCAAACTTCTCAGAATCTCATCGAACTGTTTCTTTAGCTCATAGTCCTGCGTAAAGGAGACGATTTGAGATTATTTTCCAGTTATGGGTTGTAAGAGATAGACGTTATTGTTACTGGGTATTAATGGGCCAATGGGAATTGTGAGAAGTTAACAGTCGGTGGGCTTGGATCTGGAGCGGCTAACACAGGTGATCTCAATACGACCCAAGGTGCGGCCATAACTGTAAGGTTTGAACAGCTCATACCGGGAAAGCCATAAAGCAGTGATGGGCAAATCATCATTTTAAAAATACACATTCACGCTTCAGTGCGGCAAATGTCTACCACAGATAGTGTATGTCGAGTGCATGTCCATGTGACAGAAAAACACTTCGCCATTGTTTTATCTCTGTCCTTATATGAGGGATAGAAGGATAAATATCTCGCCCTTGAATCGTCTGGGCGACAATAGGAATATACTAATTAACATCAATTGTCTTCCTTTAGGAACCCACAGTACTAACTTTCAGTCCGCCAAACTCAAATCCCTAACTCCTGTTTACACATTTTACACAAACATTATACCATTAACACACTGTTGCGTTTTCACGTAGCGCTAGTATTTACCTGTTCTCTGGTGCAGCATCCGAATTTGCTGTATTCTCGGCATAAACTGAGCGGCTCTGCCGGCTCGAAGGGAGGCATGAAGTCCAAACACTGTGGGTGGGCGTGAACGGTCATTGAGAAGGCAAAAACAACGGCCAACAGCGCCGGAGTTATGGTGCCCCATGCTTGTGACATTTTGTCTTACCAAACAGGGCGAGTGGTCTCGCCGTGTGAAAGCACCCCGGAAGCCGTAGAACCGGTTCAACCAGGCTGTATACGTAACACACCTGTCACGCTTGAACAATTATAGTCAATACCCATAATGCGTTGCTGTGCGAGGTGACTTTCCCGGGGGTACAGGTACTAGTACTGGAGCACGTCGACAGAACGTACTGCGCCTGCGCGAAATCCGTAATGTACTGTGCATAGCACATCGACAGAACGTCTCGTGGAACGTCTACAGTTTCCACCTCTCCTTCGTATATACGAACAACGAAGAGTAACAATATCTAAATTCACATCCACAGTATCCGTATCAGAATGCGTAAGCTTTTTAGCAAAAGTAGTTGATAGGGGGCGCACAGATAAGACCTGTTATTCATCGTGAGAAAGTGATAGAGAATTACGGACCTTGGTCTTCATGATCGACCGCCTCTCGACCGTCCTCAACACATATTCAAACCATATATTTCTATATCTAGAGAATACCACTGAATGAAGTAAGAACTGTCTAAGAACCTTTATGTTTGATAAATTGTGCGTTCAGGTAAACTGAAAATGAAAAGAGCCATCCTTGATTTAATGTAAAGCTTAAGTTAGCCTGGATGCCCGACCTTGTCAGCTTTAGTCCGCGCCAACAAGGGAGCGATTAGTTGGAAGGGAAGTTTGGAGACTTTGGACCTTTTTGTGCTTTAACTTGGCACCTTATAGTAACAATAAATACAGGAGTATTCCATACCAGTCAAATTTAATGACACCGAATAATGTTTCTCCATCAAGCACACATTGACCTTGTTAAGATGGAAAACCAAATTTTGTATATTCCATACATTATTCCTTATTATAATGATATTCATACCATAATATAACGTGATACCATATACCGAGAGATACAATACATGTATAAAATAACAATAGATGATACCTAAGTTTACCTATAACGAAACAGATGGATTTCTTATAACAGATTCTCACGTTTAATCTGTACAAGGACATCATACAGCAGTCCTTGATCTGTTGTATGTTTTTCAATGTTCAATGTTTATCGCATTAATTGAGCAATTCTCGACTTCACCCTTTACCTAGAGTCTGATATTAAGCTCTTATGAGATAAACGTCTTTGGACCTACATTTGTTTTTGAATATATAATAATTCATAAGTGACTGAAGCAGAATAAACGGTGACTCGGCGACCTCGAAATCATATTTAGGTTACATTTGACAACTAGGAATAATGTTTTTCAAATAACACCAAAAGTTACGTAAAAGATACCTTCAAACACGTTGATACTATCGTCATCATTAATTTGTCAGGATGAGGTTGCCTACTTATCACTAATGTACTCCAGGATGTCTTACTGTACGTCGCACAAGTACTATAGACCTGTCTACCTACTGAACAAAACAAGGCTAGCGACGGTGGTGTTTAGTCCAGTCAAATATACTCTACCATGACGGTTTGTTTTAATTCGATCAAGATACAAATACTTTTTTTCCAGACAATAGTTTTATGTTGAAATATTCATAATTGACCTCAACTCAACGACATTTTCTTCATTGGGTTTAATTTTCCTTCCACAGAGGATGCCTACGACCATGCCCTTCACGCTCTCTCTTGGCTCCCCAGCCCTCTATTATGTCATCCCTAGAAAATTCAAGCAAATGAAATCTATCAGATCGCATGCAGCTTTCACAAATTGATACAAACCATTTCCCATTTCGTATCATTCATAATTCAGTGAGAACATATTAAGTAGTGCAAAGAGGAAAATAAGGCGCATTCTAGTAGTTATTAAAACATGAATCTGCTATTTACAAAAACAAGCAGTGACAAAGAGATGTGGGGGGATGCAAAAGTCAATGTGATGGACAAAGTTCAGAAAACAGACAACAAAAAACACGACTACAGAGGGAGACATGGACCCCAGCATTGGCGTTTCTGCAAAAGAACATTTATGAATTACAACACCCCATCGTGATGATGGGACCATGATATTGATAATCAAGATGATTAAAGATGATTGATGAATTAGAAAAGCATGCTTTTTTTATAATCTCACAGTTTACTTACCAGCTGGTGATGATGTTACGGATCATGGACCCAAGAACTCCGACTGGAGTTATATTTTTCCTGCATTGGCCTGGGTCTGCCCGCCTGAGAAGTAATGCAATAGGGCATTTAGAGCTTCATTCAGCATCTGTCAACAACGCTAAAAATATCAGCCATATTTTAGCTTCATGTAGGTATTTTCCTTGTCAAAATTGCAGGCACGATATATTTGAATTGCACCCCTAGCGTCATATGCGTAACTACGGTATGGCAGCAAATTTTTGCATGCACATACCATAAGCATACAAATAGATGCTACATGTAGTAGCTGCATAGAAGGTTGTTTAGAAGAGGAACTACGGTACCTCTTTCCAGACACCGAAAAGTGTTACTCTGAAAAGGAAACACACAAAGGAAATTCCCTTTTTGCGTTTCCCCGACAATGCATTTTGTATAACACACAGTCAATGTGATGTTGTACAAAAGTCAATGTCAGTAAGAAATCCATATCCTTGACGACAAACCCTACCTTGAAGGGTCTACAAGCCTGTACACTACTCCTCCCTCGTGGCTGGTGCTGGCAAAGTCAGTGGCCAGCATGTACAGTTCACCTGTGTAGGGAAGGGAATGGACTGATTAGGGAGAATGTAGCTGGGGATAATGTTAATGTTGTAAGATTATCTTAAATTGAACAAAGGTATTTAAGCAATTACACGATACTATTCCTGTAAACTTTCAAAAATCACCATTAAACCCACAACAATATAAAACTTTCATTCTTACCTGCCTCATCCTCTCCAAAAGACAAGATGTTTGGAACATATGAACCCCGTACACCATTGTTGCATGTGTCGTCCCCTCCTACACAGACCACTCTATTGTTCCACGCACCAGTCTTGGCATCCTCCGTCAGAGAGAAGAGTAAACTGTACACAGGGAAATCAAGAACCAAGTTAGACATGGGCAATGTTAAAGGATCACGGATATGCTGACAGCTATTCATCCCCATCTTCATCCGTTATGGAAGATCGTAACGTTTTGACTGGCTACCGAACCAACATCTAAACACTACGATATTCTACCCCAAACAGCTGCTTGGAGAGTCTGTTTGCTTCCATTGGACAGACGTGTCAACATACATGTAACTTAAACGTATTGAAGCGTTAAATCCAGTAACTACGATCCGAATCTGCTACGACTGAAATGATGTACATTGACATTGTCACTAACCCTCTAAAAATGTATTTTTTTAAAACAAATTCCTTCTTACGTCCAATACCCAAACTTATTCTCAATTTTGTTTATTCTTTACAAACACACGCTCTGAGTGGAGCGAATCATGTTATCATCACCAGAAATCTGTATCTTACCCAGTCATGTAGTCTCCATAAATGTACTGTCCCCTCAGATTCGGAAAGAGACAGCCCCTGTACATGTACCCTCCTGTAATTGACTTTCCAACACTGTGGCCGTAGACGTGTATTGGCGGAATATGGTTGGCTGAGGAACGGAAGAAAAATTCTGCTCAGTCATTGAAAGCTATATGCATTTTAGCTGTTGGAAATAGTGAGTACTGTAACTGAGTAACTGAGATACATGAATTGAACATGGCGTGGGGGTCCACAGGTGAAGTACAACGCGCCCATCAAAAGGCTGGCAAAGAATTAGCACAAGTTCACAAACAACATGCAACAATGACATTCTGGTAGTCTAACATATATCTGTAGTTCACTCTTACCCAACTCTGGAGTTTTGCAGAGTTTTTTGTCAAAGCATTCGAAGCCCTCGAACGCACGCCACCCGTAGTTCCCTCCCTTCTGGATGATGTCAACCTCTTCCCATTTGCCCTGTCCGACATCTCCGCAGAAAATGCGCCCTCGGCCCTTTCCGGTTTCCGGGTCGCCTCTGTCCATGGAGCACCTCCAGGAGTTCCTCTGGCCGTAAGCGTAGATCTCGGGCCTGACGTTTGGCTGGCCGACAAACGGGTTATCCTCCGGCACGACGTAAGGGACGCTGTCGTCTGGACGGTTGATGTCGATCCTAATTACCTTTCCCAGGAGCGAGGACCTATCATAAAACGAAAAGGTATGTAATACATTAGACATTGTAACCTTCGCACAAGAGGCGTCTTCTTTGGTTTCTTGCACATGCCCTGCAGAATAAGGATCGTTTTGAACTTTTGAGCACAATTATCATGGCAAAAACATGATTTATATATATATATGATTAAAGATCTTACAAGTTCTGTCCGTTTCCTCTTTTCCCCCAGGGGTCTCCTGCCTTTCCGCCGTCACCAGTGAAGGCGTACAGATACCCGTCCACCCCGAACAGCAGCTGACCTCCGTTATGATTTCCCGCCGGTTCGTCCAGCTCAAGAATGACCTTCTCCGAGGCGCGATCCACCTGGTTGGCGTCGTGAGATGCTATCCGGAACTCACTGATGCGAATCTTCTGATGTTTGTCGTTTCCAATGGAATAGTAAACAAAGAGTCTACTGTTGTGCTTAAAGTCCGGATGAAACGCCATCCCGAGAAAACCGCGTTCATCGCCACGTCTGGTGGATGTCAGAATATTCTTAGACAGGTCTAGAAACGGCGTTTCTACCTTACTGAAATCAGACAGATACACGTGCACCTTTCCGTACTGTTCACCGATAAAAACACGGTGGGAGCCGTCTCCGGCATGGACCAGGACTGTGGGGTTCCTCAGACCGACCACTAGCTGCTTGAAGCACAGGCACTTCTCCCCACCGGTGCCCTGTATGGCTTTTTGAATGTCGTTGGAAAAATTCTCATTAGTGATAATGTCAGGATAACAGTAGTCCATGTCGGTAATTTTGGTCGACTCACAGAACTTTTTGGGATCTGACGGTGAGAGTGTTTTCCGCACGGATGGGTCAACTGTTGTTGAGAGGAGGGCATTGATGCACTCACTGGGTATGGAGGAACAATATTTCGGGCATAGACCTGGCAGCGGCTTTTTCACCTGTGAAAAAAGGATACACGATTGGTAAACTCTCAGGAGCATTAAAAAATGTCACATACATGTATATACACGACTGCCATCTAGTGTTGGTGTGATAATGACTGTCTTTAAATTCATGATCATAGAAACGGAATCAGATCAAGAAGAGCTTCGTTAATCTGGTTTTCCTTATCACTGTGGTAAGCTTAAGAATACTGCCAAGCAACACAAACCCTTGTTCATGCAGATTCCCCAAATAATGTCCCAACAAATACGAGAAAGATTACGTAAACGTTACCAGAAGAAGCCGTTTACCTGAGTGGTTTCCAGGTCGTACAAATGGGAGGCGTAAGGCGAGCACTCCTGACAAAGGATGTTCGTCACGTGCTTCTCACACACTGTCCGGGAACTCTGCGGCAAACTTCTCAGAATCTCATCGAACTGTTTCTTCAGCTCATAGTCCTGCGTAAAGGAGACGATTTGAGATTATTTTCCAGTTATGGGTTGTAAGAGATAGAAGTTATTGTTATTGGGTATTGATGGGCCAATGGGAATTGTGAGAAGTTAACAGTCGGTGGGCTTGGCTCGCAAGGGTCTGGAGCGGCTAACACAGGTGATCTCAATACGACCCAAGGTGCGGCCATAAGGTTTGAACAACTCATGATCACAGAGGGAAAAGCCATAAAACAGTGGTGTACTCGTCACCGTTCACGCTTCAGTGCGGCACATTAGAACAAACCTGTCTACCACAGATACATGTAGTGTATGTCGAGTGCATGTCCATGTGACGGAAAAACACTTCGCCATTGTTACTCCGTGAAGGAGGTATACCTCCTGACGGAGTACATGTATTGTGGGTAGACGGTCTTTCGTGTTCGCAGTGGGCTCCCTTTGTTTAATCGGCATGCAATTTTATATGTCGTCTGCAGGCAAACCCGTGTTGATGCGTCTTTATTTTTACCGTTGCTGTTTTCGCGGTCAATGTAATATTTCAGATGCACCCCTACATATACATGTATGAGGCAAATTGGAATGGTCCAGGAAAACCCGTTGTTTTGAATAGCGGGGGGGGGGGGATGGGGGTCTGTCTCAGGCAGATGTGGGGAGGGGTCGATAAGTAGTACCAGATGTTTCGTCCCCATCAGTGTTCGAAATACCCGGTAGTGCACTAGCGCCGCGCAACCTGATTTCCTTGTGCGCTAGTTGTTCTATCTGAAAGTATGCGTTCGTGTGCAAAAGTACCGAAGTAACGGGTTCCTTCCTCAGTACTAGGTGTACAGAGGTGAGGCGGCTTCCGTCCTAGATCTCCAGTGCCGAAGTTTCGTCAACACTTGGTGTCCAGTGTCGGCGGCTTCAGCACTGGCTCTAAATCGGCAAATCAAATCGGGTTTACGGAAAAAGGAGTCCAGTCCGATTGGCGGAAAAAGCAGTCCAGTCCGATTTTGGGGTGGAAAAAGCAGTCCGGTGGTTTGTACGAAATTTTACGAAAGACCATAGGCACAATTTTTTCTTGTGCGTGTACTTCTAGTTTCTATGGGTACTTCGAGTTTCTATGAGTACTTCGAGTTTCTATGGGTACTTAGAGTTTCTATGAGTACTTAGAGTTTGTATGGGAACCTAGAGTTTCTATGATGAGTACTTAGAGTTTGCATGGGAACTTACAGTCTGTAACTTACATATCATCATCATCATCATGCCTCCGCTTTATTACTTACATATTTAACAGGGGTTTTTCTAGAAAAATTTGGCATGAGGGAGCAGTATCATGGCGAGGGACCGAAGCGACCGAGGGGGGGGGTTATCCCCCCTTCCGCCATTTGAAGCCTTTGAAAATTTGAAGTTGAAATGGGACATTTTGAGGCTACTTGAGGGGGAAATTTGAATTCTTAACCTCAATATACCTTTCCCAAATTTCTATTCATGCATTGCATATTTCACTTATAAAATATAAGTACAATCAACAGTACACACAATCTGCAAATCACCCTTTATACACTTACACAGTTAGTGATCAATGTTACTAGTAGCTCCAGATGACAACATTGGGTTTGCCACAAGCTGAAACCTTTCCCATGGCACAATTGCAACACATTCATCCAAGCTGCTACAAACTCAGGTCTTATGTTTCACTTCAGAGCCTGTTCTACAGTATGCAAATGAAGGAGGTCTAGCTACATGTTTTTGAGCAAGTTCTCAATGAACATTGTTTATTCCATTCAAACTTTTACTACTAGAGCTAAATTTTCAAGTTTGTGGTAAGATTTTGGAATTTTTATGAGAGTAACATAGTTTGTAATGCTAGAATGTATTGTTATGTGGTGTTGTTTTTGTATTTTTACTGGAAAAAGATGATTTTGAAAAAGACTTAGGCTTCAATCTGAAAATTGATATGAGGGCGCTGGTTTGTTACATGAGGGCGCAGCGCCCTTGTTCCCCTGTTCAGAAAAACCCCTCAAAATAATAATTAGTCAAAAGATGAAGCGGTCAACTGACGAGATTTCCAGGGCCGATCCTGCTTGCAAGTAGCCTGATTAAATCGCTTTACGGTTGCCAGCTGCCCAACATCCAGCCGGCCCCTGCTAAAGCCACGTATGGCAGACTTTGCATTACACCGACAAGCATGTAAGTACCGGAAGTACAATTGTAAGAAAGAATCCCTTAATAATTAACTTTTGTTTATTGTGGATAGGTGACCTGTATGTATAGAAACTACTTTTCGGTGGTCCCAAGAGGTGTAAATCAGTTGTCCCAAGGCTGCCTGAATTGGGTTAAGGCGGCATATAGAGAGTCACATATATGCTAATTCAAGTTCCCATACAAACTCTAAATAGTCATAGAAACTCTAAGTACCCATAGAAACTCTAAGTACTCATAGAAACTCGAAGTACCCATAGAAACTAGAAGTACACACACAAGAAAAAATTGTGCCTATGGTCTTTCGTAAAATTTGGTAGAAACCAAAATCGGACTGGACTGCTTTTTCCGCCAATCGGACTGGACTCCTTTTTCCATAAACCCAAATCAAATCATGCTAGGAGAAGGGAGGCGGCTTTAAGCCTAGGTCACAATTCAAGAAAGGGGCCCGCTCGGCGCGTGTTCGGCCTGTTTGGTCGCCGAATTGATTTTAACTCAAACTTAAAATCACTTCGGTCCCCGTCCGGCACGGTACGCCGAAGCGACGCCGTAACCTCACTGCCCGGGACCCGTCGGGCGGCCGAACAGGCACCTGCCTAAAGCTTAGGTCACATTTGAAACGGCGCCCGTTCGGCATGTCCTCGGCGTAGACGCCGGCCGGCGTCATGACGCCGAGCGTGCGCCGACTGCCAGGGTCACAATTTAATGATCCTTTACGGCTCCCTGTCGGGGCCTGGTTGTGCTCCGGTCGGTGTTGAGGTGGCTTCTAATCAATATTCATAAACTTTTGGTACCCTTGGCGGGCGGTTTCTGTCAGGAAAGAAAAAGGAAAGGGCAAAGAAAAAAAACAAGCATTTCTGGCATTTTATCCCCTTAAGGCGATGTTAAGCAGATCATTTGTTTATATCAGCATACCTGTCAGACAACTCTAACTGTTACACAATGTGCTAATTCTACCACTCTAACCCTTTCTACAATCCAATGAACTACCAACGCTACATAAAGTTTTCAGCGCAAGATTATTCGGCACTTCTTAATATGTCAGTAGTCTGTCGGTGTGGAATGCGCTTGCCATGGGTTTTGGATGTTTGTGGGAGGATTTGTTGAGTAAGCGTACGTTCCCTCGTGTTCAGCAACATGTCAGATTTTGGCCCTGTTCATATGAAGTCAGTGAAGGCGCTTTACATGTGGTTTCCCCGAAGCCGGTTTCAAGTGGCCCCATCTGAACGCTCCTACCTACCTACCTACCTACCTACCACTCCACCGCATATCAGCTACTGCTGAGGCGGGCCATCACGCTCCAAATCACATTGAAAGCGCCTCGATCCCAAACCACTTCGAGAGGTGGTTTCGAATTGGTTTTCCCGCATCGTGCTTCTGAACGCAATGTGATTTCAATGTGACTTCACCTGGTCATGGATTACGGGGTGATATTTCTTTATTTATATGCAATACCAAATTTTACGTGGCAACAACTTAAAGAACAGTAATGGTCCAATTATGTGTCCAATCTAGGACGAGCTTCACCGCCTCTGGCGGGACCACGTCGGTATTCGCCCGAGATACGCTGAGAGGGGGGTACCAGCAAGCAGGTCGTTGACCTCTGACATTAATAATACGGGTGTTCTTCGTCACATGATCCCCGTTGACAGCTGACGCCTGGTGTTGTTTCCCTTGCACAATGAAAAGCAGACTTTGTGAATGAGTCAAATTTGACTCAAGTTCGATTCAATTCGTATCAAAAGGTGGCCTTAATTGTTCAGACTGCTCCCGAACTCCATCTAACCTCAGATGGTTGGTGTTTAGTGGAAGGTTCTGAATGTGTGACAGCGGCTTAAGAAATTGTCTGTTGCAATGACAGCTTGGGGCAATCAATTAACCTCATGACAAATGGGCAGTAGCGTTTGGACACATTGCCTTATCTCAGGTGTAAGGACGTTTGAATTCTTTAAGAAGGTCTCTGTTAAGTGTCTAAACCGGATCAAATTTCACTGCTTTAGATGTACACATTTGCTTCAAAAATGGTGCTCAAACTTCACCAAACTAAAGTGCTTTTCTACAAACTCTGTTGATTGGTGATATTATTCATCTTGTGCATCAGAAAACCCCAGATGCACCAAAAAGCACCCATGGGAAACGGAAGAAAATTGCATTTGTTGATGATTCTATTACATAAATAATATCAAATATAATATTTTCTTCTGTTTGTTCTGTTGTTCTGTTTCTTCTTTTCTTCTGGATGTACATGTATAAAGGTTTGCACCATATTTTCCACAACTCCCGGGACCCGCCGTGCCCAGTGGCCGTGCCCAGGCGTGGCTTTAATTATACGCGGTGGATATAACCATAAGCAATTGGCAATGTATGGTCAAAGGAAGTCATCACTATTTGCGGAGAGGCTGTAGGACTCGGGAGCTATAATAGGTTTAGTAACCAGGCTAAAATCATCATGAGTACTGACAACAAGTTTTATAGTCCCCAGTGCCCATTAAATTTTCTTTCACAAGCAAAATAACACCAAACAGCTGTATATTGAGACGCTGTAACGGTATCAGTTTAAGAAAGGACCTGTGAAAATGCCAATATTTGAAAATATAACACTCGATTTAAGTTTAAAGAAAAACCAAACATTCCTGGCATTATTAATGCGTTGGCCTGGTCACCGGGGCATATGAACACACTCACGGTTAGACAACTCTACTTCTTTTATCTCTGTCCTTAAATGAGGGATAGAAGGATAGATATCGCATCCTTGAATCGTCTGGGCGACAATAGGAATATACTAATTAACATCAATTGTCTTCCTTAGGAACCCACAGTACTAGCTTTCATTCTGCCAAACTCAAATCCCTAACTCCTGTTTACACATTTTACACAAACATTACACCATTAACACACTGTTGCGTTTTCACGTAGCGGTAGTATTTACCTGTTCTCTGGTGCAGCATCCGAATTTGCTGTATTCTCGGCATAAACTGAGCGGCTCTGCCGGCTCGAAGGGAGGCATGAAGTCCAAACACTGTGGGTGGGCGTGAACGGTCATTGAGAAGGCAAAAACAACGGCCAACAGCGCCGGAGTTATGGTGCCCCATGCTTGTGACATTTTGTCTTACGAAATAGGGCGAGTGGTACACCTGTCACGCTTGAACAATTATAGTCAATACCCATAATGCGTTGCTGTGCGAGGTGACTTTCCCGGGGGTACGATATCTTTTCCAACATAACATTTGGAAACTACAGACGGGATGTTAACCTGTCATGCGCAAATACAACCTTATATGAGACGTTCTGCAGAAGTGCTTTGCACAATACATCACAAATTTCGCGCAGGTGCAGTACGTTCTGCCGACGTGCTCTGTGCATAACACATCGACAGAACGTCTCGCTTAAAGCCGTGTTCACGTATTTCATGGTGACTTCGTGTCTTGTTTTCAAATGTTGAGACCTTACATGTTGTCTTTTGCAACGTTGGCTAAACTTCCAACCAAAACCGTAAAACAATCCGGGATGCGCGCAGGCGTGGTACGTTCTGCCAGCGTGCTTACTAATATAGTCTGTTAGTTTTTAACATTTGCAATTGCAGTGTCTCCAACCTCTAGATACACAGATTTCGCGATCGAAAGGTAAGGCCATGTTGATTTGATTATATGGATGACATCCTCTGGGAACCCTGAAACTGACGCGAGCGTGCGAATAAACAAAGTTTGGCAAAAAAAGTTTCCTTCATTATGAAATCTATGTGGTCATAAAGGTTGAACAAACAACTAAACACGTATGTTATATATGGGGAATACTAATAGCCTTTTTTTCATTTCTTCACATTTTCTTCTTTTCCTGAATTGATTTCAGCATTCTATGACAGTATCGTTTTCCAAAACGTTTTTTTGTAACATACGACATGATTCGCTCATTTTGTACGATTTACAGTATTCTCTAAAACTTTTTTTCGAAACGGACGAAAAGTCATGCGCGCACGCGGATGTCATCCATACCATCAAATCAACATGGCCTAATAACTATTTTTGGGACAGAGTGTGTGAGTTAACAACATTTCGACTTTACGAATGTGATATACAACTACATACAACTACAGCCTCCACCTCTCCTTCGTATGCGAACAACGAAGAGTAACAATATCTATAAACGCGTAGGCTTTCAAAAAGTTAAAGTAGTCGAGGGGGCGTACAGACAAGAGCTATTCTTAAAAAATGAAAGAGAATACACGGACCTTGGTCTTCAACATCGACAGCCAGTCGCAGCATACCGTCTTTTTAAAACACACCGGAGATTTATTTTCTAGAGATATCTAGAGAGTATCGCAGCATGACGTAAGAAGTATCTAAGAACCTTTATTTTCGATAAATGAAAAGAGACATCCTTGATTTAATATAAAGGTTAATTTAGCCTTATTAGCTTTACTACGCGCCACAAGGGAGGGATCAGTTGGAAGGAACGTTCATTTTGGATGCTTAGGACCTTTTTCTGCTTTAACTAGACTTTCACCTTATAATAACGTTACACAATAAAATACAGGGATATTCCACACCAATCACTTTTAATAACACCGAATAATGTTTCTCCACCACGCACACCAGGAGCTGTTTTCCAAAGTTTGTATATTCCTTACATTATACCTTATTATAATGATAACATACCATGACATAACCTGATACTATATGCCGAGATATGCAATATATATATGAAATAACAATAGATGATACCTAAGTTTACCTATAACGAAACAGAAGGTGTTTCCTATTATAGTTTCTTACGTTTGACCTGTTGTATGTTTTTTCAAAGTTCATCGCATTAATGAAGCAATTCTCGAGTTCACCCTTTACCTAGATCCTGATATCATGCTCTCAAGAGATGAACTTCCTAGGGGCTACTTTTGTTTATGAATATATAATAATTCATAAGTGACTGAAGCAGAATAAACAGTGACTCAGCGACCTCTAAATCATATTTAGGTTACATTTGACAACTAGGATTAATACTTTAATACAAATAACACCCAAAGGTACGTAAAATATACCATGAAAACACGTTGATACTATTGTCCTCATTAACTAGTCATGATGAGGCTGCCTAATACTAGTAATCACCAGCAATGAACTCCGTGATGTCTCAAGGTACGTGGGTACTATAGCCCTAAAACAGTTGACTGTCTGCCTACTGAACAAAACAAAGCTACCGACGGTGGTGTTTAGTCCATTCAAATTTACCGTGACGTTTTGTTCTGATTCCATCAAAGGTTGAACGATCAAGACACAAAATTCTTTCATTTCCAGAAATTGTTTTATGGTAAAATATTCATATTAGGTTTCCTTTTCCATCTACATACGGCGGATATGTCCATGCCCTTCACACTCTTGTCTTTGCCCGGCACGTTCTTCTATGTCATCCCTAGAAAAATCCAAACAAATGAAATCTATCAGATCGCAGCTTTTACAAATTGATACAAACCGTTTCCTATTTTATATCATTCATGATTCAGTGAGAACATATTAACTTATTAAGTAGTGCAAACAGGATCGGGAAAATAAGGCGTATTCTAGCAGTTATTAAAACATGAAGCTGCTCTTTACAAAAACAAACAGTGACGAAGAGATGTCGGGGGATGCAAAAGTATATGTTATACATATATATAGTAATGCAGCATCATAAAGATATTTCGTGACAATCGGTCTCACCAGTTCTCAAGGATACTGCGGGCTGCACGGATGGCCAGTGCGGAGCTGGTGAGAGTGGTGTTACATGCTGTTGCGGTAGGGATGACGCCATTTCCGCCGAGATACAGGTTGTCAAAGTCCCACACCTTGCTGCAGTCGTCCACGACAGAGGAGATTTGGTCTTTACCCATTCGCACCGAACCCTGCGCAGTGACAATGATTGGTCAGATTGGTCATGAATTGTGAAATTTACAAAATAGGCACAAATCTGACACGAGCAGAATGAAGCCAGCTCAGATGTTGAGTGCAGAGGTTTAGGTCCCTACTAGCTGCTAACGTAGAGGTAGCTGACGATACATCCATTGCTAAACAACATGGTCATCAGACAGTCTAAAAATACATACACTTGAAACCTGTTCTAACGAAGTACCACACCTGTAACTTTACAGCCTGATCAATGAATCCACCCGTTTTGTCATGTAACTTTTACTGACAGACGTTACAGGGTTACTTGTCACCATCGATCATGCAAAGAATGGCCCAGGAAACGAAACCGTCATGCTATGCTATATAGTACATAGCGTCTTTACCGTCAGATGCAGGGAGAGACCCATCGGCATGAACTGCGGCGGTGTGATCGGGAGAAACCCGCCCAAGGCCCCGGCAGCCCGCAGCATGTCCTCCATCATGGCGTGCTGCTGGTCACGTTCTTTCTGCGAGGAAGGAGGTAAAACAAAGTCAATACCATCCGTCATCAACGGGGTAGAACATATGGTGTTCACATTGTGTAAGCATGAAGGTATAAAACCTCCATAGTGTAAGTGATGAAAGTTATAGTCCAGTACTGACCTGGGTGCGGATCTTGTAGTGAAAGGTGACCTGTGGCATGCCGTGGCAATCCTTGATGACTTTACTGAAGGTCATGGTGTTGTCAGGATGAGGCCCGTTCATCTTGCCGAACCAGCGCAGGTCCACGATAAGACGGGTGTCCACGTTAGGCGTGATGCCGCCGTACGAGAAGGCGTCCCTGTGGATCTGGCAGTGCCAAGGTCGGCCTTCAGACACCGGAATCCAGACCTGAATAAAAGTGGTAATGTGTATCTTTAATGCCACTGAGGATTATTCCATAAGGCCCAGGGATCTTTTGAATTCCCAGCGTTGTAATTTGGGCGAAAACGTTTTTCTTTTGTCTCCTGACACCGTCAGAAAATCACACGACCCTAGATCCAGCTTGCTCGTTTCCACCAAGATGCATGGCGCATGCATTGATTTAATGCATTCTATATCTGAGTCTGTGTAAGTACTCCAGATGGTATGTGTAAGTAATCTTTCATCTTATTGAATATTACTTACACGCTGCCAAGATGATGAAACTAAGATCTTCGATGTTCTACTTATATGATGCAAATTACCTGAGGATCGGGATCATCAATGGGGATCGGGATGGGGTCGCACTGGTCCACGGTACACGGGCACTTGGCCATGCCGTCAATGATGTCCTGCCGCAGCACGACCTGGCAGAAGGCCATTGGCTGTTCACACAGGTAACGGCCCAAGGCGTCAGGGCGGATGTTAGACCGCCAGAGCAGCTGTGGAAACATGTTTACAATGGTGGTTACCACGATCCCAACAAGCCTATGAGACACTCTGTTAGTGGAAATGGCGTTCGTACAGAAACGAAAAAGAATCAGAGCTTGCCTGGGGTGTCTGGACTGTTCCCGCACAAACCAAGAACAGCTTTGCCCGGATCTGGAACTTCTCGTTCCAGTTCGCCAGATTCCTGACCAGAGCGTACTGCACGCTACTGCCGTCGTGGGCCAGCTCGACGCACTGGTGCTGGTCCTGAGGATGAAGTAAAGTATCTGTGAATGTATATCTTAATAGGAGGGAAGGCAGATACTTTATCTACTGTCATATGTGATTTAGCCTGTATAACGTTACCAGTATCTGAAACTTGTCTTTCGGCATGTTCAAAAGCGGCCCAAGGATGGTGCTGGCCGAGCTCCAGGTTACGAATTCCGTCTTGTCCGTGCGACGTTCGCAGGCCAGTGGGAGGTTCTGCACGCCGTAGTCATCGGGAAGCTCATCCCGGTACTCCCGCTGAAGGGCTTCCTTCACAGCTCTGTTGCGCACAGAGTTTTCGAAAGCGTCCCTATGATTTCAAACGAGCAAATGTAAATATTGAATCGATAGATGAACATAGAAACAGAGTAACTATAAATTGGTTTGCACAAAAAGCTCAGGCAGATGGTGACGATAACAGCATTGCAACGTTAACTTCACAACATACAACATACACCATTGAGTCTAGTCATCAACAAGAGCAAAAGGAGACAGTGCTATTGCTGTTTATGTGTCAGAGCGCTTGTCGAAGTGTTCACATATGCATTTCACGTATATATCTGCTGAAGATTACACAAGACTGAGTTCTTAAGTATGGTTATATCATGTTATATTATGGTTATGTGGTTAGGAATTTCAGCTTCAGTTTGCTATACGCTGTGCCCCCCCCCCCCCACACACACCCTTACTGGTTAGTTTTGTAGAGGCCCTCAGCACGATTGTACAGCTCGTCCCACTCCTGGTCGGATAATCCACCCCATCTCTCCACAGTGGGGTGTTCTCTGGGTGTGCAACAGGTCCAGTGGGTGGACATCCCGCCCACGGCGTAGCACACCGCGATGTCCGGCAGGTTCTCATCGGCCTTCTGCTCAGGGTTCTGGCCGTGTCGAATGGTTCTGACGGCAAAAACAGAATCATTCTATTCAAATTGGTATCTGAGCGAGGCGTCCGTCCAAGTTTCAAACGCATTTTATATACTTTATTAGTGTAGGTGTAAATACACGCGCAGTATGCTTATTATGGTAATTTACATCAATGTCATGAGGAGCTAACCAATGTGAGCAAGTTTCATAAGCTTTTTTATGTCCGATTCTGAAATGTCTATTATTTGAGGATGGTCTGCATCACTTAAAGGAGGTTAAATCAATGAGTTTAGTATTGTTTTAAGCAGCTTGAGAGTGCGAGCGCGCGCGCTCTTGTGTGTGTGTGTTTGTGTGTGATCGTGAGGCAGCATGGGTAACACGCAAAGAGGTGTGGGCGATTATGTCAAGTTCTGATGAAATCTGCGATCTCTGATTGCTTTGCTTCTTAACATTACGGAGAAAAATAGAAAGGGTCAGCTTCAGAGACGTACGTACGTACATAACACTCAAATCATCTCTCGAATGCCTCCTTACTTTTGGTAGTTAGCGGCGCCGGGATCCAGAGTCGGCACGGTTGACTGGTCGGTAGGAACAGACACAGGCTCCAGGTGCCCCTCAATCACATGGGTGAAGAGATTGACGTCCCGCTGATACAGGAAAGAATTCTGGAGATAGGCCGAAAATATGAGTCATTTGCCCACCCTGGATACAGAGGGCCAATGGATACAGGCAACGTCAAAATTTGTGGCCTAATTGATCTGGGTAGAAGTGAGCACTGAACCAGAAACAGTCGTCACGCCCTAAGCTGCAGAACCATGCAGACACCGCCAGATAACCCCAGCCAGATTGCACCATAAATCAACCGATGTGTCACGGTCGTCAGCACGCTATACTGCATAGCCTTTATCCTCAGGTCATCGAACTTTGAGGGAATGGTCATGGTAGGTAAGCAAACGTTCTAAGTTTTAAAGTTCAAAAAGTTCTACCTTTGCGACCGAAGTTTGTCAGGGGTAACATTAACGAAATATTCTAAAAACCCGGAAGACAACAAAAATTGACCACAACTGTTCTAAATCAGCACTGAAAACGCCTCACATTATCCGACGATACATCATTTGGCTGAAGAGAAGTAAGAGGTAATTATAATTATTCCTAGCTCCTACAGTACCAAAATTAGGAAAACGAATGTCTCAAAGATGGCAACAATTGACTGTACTCCCCTTTGTTGGATAAATGACACATGATTCATACTTGAACGACTTTTGTCTGAAGCCTCGGGCGGGGGGCGTAAACCTGGTGAAATCAACTCGGGAAAGAGAGAATTCACAATTCCAACTAAAAGTACGCACACATTTCCAACTGAAAAGTCCTCTTTTGCATTAGGGTGTTTCAGTCCTTTGTTTGTTATCAGTTTCATGAAATCGACGTCAAGTCCTAACAAAGTAATGATGTGAAGATATCTTAGATTTGACGGCTAGAGCGCCTGCATTCTCTATCGCTGACACTTGTTCCAGATGTAGACTGGAATAACACCCACAATCACCGTTGCAAATGATGGCAGAAACCTGTTAGATGGTAACGTTTACAATATACAGAATGTGAATATAAGTATACGGTACAAGTGCAGAAAGATCTAGCCAACATACAACGCTTCAGGTGGTAATGCATATGAAAGATATCGCTATACACATATATGTTCCAAGAGAGCGCGTTTATGTCCACAGAATCTGTTAACGAGAATCTCATTCCCATCAGTCCAGCCACTGTTCTGTACTAGGATGATATTATAATCACCAGAAGCTAACAGTAATGTTACCTTGAGATGCTCCCCTGGTGTTTTGGACAGCTGGGCCCCGCTGTCGATCATAAGGACGCTCAAGTCCGGATTACCGTCAAGCAACTCACGGGCGAAGGTCGAGCCCACAGGCCCGGACCCGACGATCAGCACGTCCGCTTGCATACGTCTGTCATATCGGCCATGGTCAACCGTCGACGCCATGCCGACTACTTTATAGTTTTATCACTGTGACAAACTTAAACGAACTTGTACTAAGTACTAACTTGTGGCAAGAGTCGGTATGTGGACAACACCCTGTCCGCCCACAGACTGGTTCTAACTAGCCTTGGGTAACTGTTTTATTTTATATGTGATTGGATGACTCTTGTCATGTGTTTCTTTCTCGATGTAAATTTGCCTACGGCTAAAAAATATGAATACCTCTATTAAACATGGATCATGCCAGCCATGGCTGACGTCAGTCGTTGGTTGAATGATGATAAGTTGTTTGTTCATAATAATCCCGGTCATCGGGAGGATGCTACAGTCAAGCTTGGCAATTGCTAGGAGTTAGTTGTCAGATGAGGATATAATGAAAATACACCAATCTACACTCACCCACCCACCTCACCCATCCACATCCTGACCCACTTACCCACACCCACCTACCCACACCTACACACCTACCCACACCCACGCACACAAGGAACGGACATACATTTATTAAAAAAACACTCAAAACATGATTGAAATCAACAACATGCAATTTTCAGGATTTGGACATGCTAGGGTCACGAATTTTAAATGGTAGATGGCTCTTGGGCTAGGAAAGAAGTAACATGAGTTTGGGCCCCCTAGCCACTTGTTCTGGAACTGCAGGAGCGTTTCTTGAAAACAATTTGAGGGATAGGAGGATAACTCAAGAACCAGTGGACGGATTGTCGTAACAATTGGTATGTAGGTAGCCAGAGTGATGCTTGACACATTTAGATAATAATTATGCAAAACAGGATCTAATTTTCATGATTATTGAGGAAAGCCTATACATCTGCAGCGTTCGATAATAGGACTATAAAATACTTGTGACATGTAATTGAGAACGAGGAACATTGGCAGATATTGATTATGTAAATGTACATAACTTGAATATTAATGGCACATTCCACACTCCTGTGAAGTGAAGGTGAATATCATAAAATATAATTTATTAAAACCAGGACCTCATTTATATAAAATATGACTCATGAGTATAAAGCCCTCTTTGTTTTCATAAGATTGTCATTAAGTGGAGAGTATGATCAATGTTAACTGATGCTAATGTGGCTCTTTAATTTGGATCAATGAGGAAAATGTATGATTTGTCAGTCGGAAGGGTTAAGATCATTTGGCGAAGGTATGAGATCGTGGAACTCTTGTTTCTGATACATTACACATCGTAACATAAAGAGTTTGGCACACTAAAATCGGCTTCATTAACACTTAACGTTACGTATGCCAAGCAAGTTCGATAATCTAACGTTGCGACGATACTTCCCAGGAGTAGGCGTATAAGCCATGACTTCATTACGAAAACCTGCCACTCTAGATTCCCTTACTTGATATCGTTAACGTCTGCAGCGATAACCCCCCTCCTTCTTCCTGCTCGGTGTTTAGGTCGACCTAACCCAATATGGCGAGCAGTGATCATGTGACAACCACGGCAAAAGATAAACATTACGTCCCAGTCACGCCTCTTTTTCTACGGAGCAGAGCGTATCCATGTTCCTTCAATGCTCTAGCAATTCTGATTTCAATGGCTCTCCTAAGTATGCCGCGATAATGTCAGAACAACTTCTCACATGGTGTTGCGAAACACACGACCGGGGCGGCCGGGGCAAAGGACGAAATGACGTCATTGTATTGTTGCCACCTGTTAAGTAGTGAGGTGTTGAGTCACCTTCGTACACGTGGAAGTAGCGACGCAGCCACTGTTTACGCTTTATCGACACGTGCATATATTTGATGAATTGACCAATCAAATCGCCTGCCTATGTTTTGTTTTCTATTTCGGGGGCCGTTGGTTATCTCCACGTTGGAAGGAACACGTTGGAAGGCTAAGGAAACGAATAAAAAGCCATGCACAATTCTGAAGCACATTGTAAATTTAAGAAGCGACACAGACGCATACAGTGAAGCAAGAACAGGTGTGAGGAAGAGAACTTCAAGTTTCTTTCGTCTCTTTTTGGTCCTGAATCGCGTCACCGAGTATTTCAGAGACAACATGGGTCTACTGATGTCCCGCCTGATGAACCTGATGCAGGCCGCCTTTAAGGACACGCCTGCCCGTATCCTCATGCTGGGGTTGGACGCCGCAGGTGAGTTGTCACGCTATGTCTTCTACTTTGTTTTCAACATTGTAAGTTTTCATTAAAGAATTTTCATCCCTATTTTGTCGAAGGATCATTGTTTGTGGCTTCCCCAAAATATATATATCCCGAGTATCGTTCTGGTTAGGGTACATGTAAGGTCACATCCACCGCCTGCGACAGAATACTGGGGGAAGTCTTGGGATAGTAGCACCCTGAAAATCTAGGTTATGACCAGTCAAGTCGACACATTTATGGCTACTAGTAATCTAGGTGTACTGGAAAATAGAAAAAGCTCTCTGGTCAATTCGACAATGACTTCAGATTTCTTTTCCTTAGGTAAGACGACAATCCTGTACAAGCTGAAGCTGAACGAAACCGTGACGACCATCCCGACCATCGGCTTTAACGTGGAGGAGGTGAGTCCCACCAAGTACGTGTCCTTCACCGTGTGGGACGTGGGCGGGCAGGAGAAGATCCGTCAGCTGTGGAGACACTACTACCAGAACTCAGAAGGTACGCTACATGTGTCAATCTTATAGCCATGCGTTTCCCGCCATGTGTGCCGAAATTATTCCTCGGTAAACGGCACATTATCAAGTATGCTGGTTAGTATTTGAGAAGAAAGCAGATCATTGAAATATTTCTAACTGTAGCATTTCTTACCAATTCTGATACTAAATGCCGACTGTCGTTTATTCAGCCAGAAATTCAAGTCGAAGTTGAATTTGTCTTGGTAATATGTTGATATAAGATAGGTAAAAATGAGCTTTCTATAACATCTTACATGATGACGTTACAATTGTGTTGTTTATTTTGAAAGCTGGGTTGGTTCGATACTCTATAGATATAGATATAGATTTACCGTTGTGAAAGCCTATTTCATGTCTTGTTATATACGCCACCTGTATACCCAGGTCTGATATTCGTGGTGGACAGTGCAGACCGTACCCGGCTGGAGGAGGCTTGCGAGGAGTTGTTCGGGATCCTGGAGAGCCCGGAATTTCCCCGGGGAACCCCGATAGTAGTCATCGCTAACAAGCAAGACTTGCCTAGTAAGTGCACATACTGTTGTGTGAATGTAAATGTATGTACTCTAAAGTAGATGTATTGTGGTATTTTAATGGATAACCTAACCCCAGAAGAAATTCCACCACCATTTTTAGTTTATCAGTTAAATCAAATTCTCCAGAGCCAAAGCTAACAGATCAAGTTAGTCTAATCGTACTCCAACTGTCTACAATTGGCATTGCTTTTTTCGATCTTTTTGAATTTTGTTAGATTGTACAATGTTCCAATCAGGTATGAGAAGGTAAGAAAAGGTAGTTCTACAACGTCAGTGCAGTACGGACGAAGATAATAGTGATGAATTATTAAAGTGGCAAAATATCATTAAAACTGAAAAACTAATAAAAAAAACGTGTGCCCACAGATGCTGCGAGCTGCTCCGAGATCGTGGAGAAACTGCACATGAGGAAGCTCGTCGACAACCAGTGGCACGTCCAGGGCGCATGCGCAGTTACCGGGGACGGTGTGTATGACGCTGTGGAACATCTGGGCAGGATGGTGAAGGACTACAGGAAGCAACACCCGCGCTGAGCATGCGCAATACGGACAGATAACTGAGCTGTGCGGGCACATGCTATTGTTGGCTGCTCCTTAAATCCTAGGCTGAGACGCTTGGGTAAATTATTCTTTTTACTTAAGTCAGTTGTTTTGAAACAGTCTATGGAAAATGAATCTATACAACACCTATATACATTTGGTGGGTCATACGGTCATTGTGGACCAAGAATAACACTGTGCTAGGCCTCGCTGCCATTGTACATCGACTTAGATATATGTTCACTCCTAAGATGTACAATTAGCCACTGAGATTTATACAAACAGTGTTGTTGCCTCTTCAGGTGATGACTATTCAACAAGTTGATGATCATAATGTATGACCTAGATGCAATATCAGTGTGGATCGGCAGGGGGTACTACAGTACTGTCTTTGGTTACAGTGACAGCATGTGTCACGTTGAGCAATGCTTTTGTTTATACGTTTATCTGTTGAGTCGTATATATTTGTAATAACCTGTAAATACTTTGTACGACGTCGGGACAGGAGGTGTTCAGATGAAAGGAATTTGTATTTTGTGTTTGTCCGTTTTGTGCACATGTTTGTTCATAATCATATATTTACTCACGCCTTCGTATATCGATGATTAAAGGACATGACAATTGAATGTGTAATAATTCTTTAATCAACGAATACCACCTTTGATATATTTGAAAGAGTATGGAAACTACAACACGTCACCTCGAAAACATACACAATGGGGGAAGAATGAAACATTATAGAGCAAGAACTGATCTAACACCCGGTAGCAGGCACCAGCGTACTTGGTAACATATAATTGTACATAACACGGTCCTTTACTGATTGTACTGTTTCCATATAAACCACATAATTATAAGAAATGACAGTATTTAAAATTATATACTTACCAAAATACATTAGTATTGATAAGATAAACAATTAGTCTGTCGCGATATCAATCTCAAATATACACAAAAACACACAAACACTGTTATGATTATCATTTGTTTGGCCGTGACATTATTTCTCTCTGTAAAATTTGACTTGTCGATGATATTTAGAATCAGACTTGACACGGCCGAATTTCAGATGACGACTTCCAGCAAACAAAAGGGAGCCCTTCAGGCATGGATTACGCAGGGCTGACATAATAACACCGCCCAGACCGGCCTTGTCACGCAACTGTCGGTGTACCACAGGCTGTTCCCAGGTAACCTGACATTTAGATGACTCAGAGGTTATTGTTCGCCAGATAATTTGCCGACGCCCTGAGGCAGACGCCCTTCCAGTATGCGTTAATGAGATGGACAGACTCCACTGGACTCCTTTGGGGGCTGAGAAAATATGCAGAATTTAGCCACATAGGGGGAAGAATTTGTCAAAGTAATCTGGACGGGGCGAGGAAATCTATGAAGTAGCTAACTCTTCTGGCAAATTATTTTGCTAGCTTCAGCTAATTTTTTAGCCCCTGAAGGTTTCTGATGGAGACTAGGTACACCCATGCCTCGGGGCTAGGTACAGGGCGTCTGTCGTTTGACCTGTGGTAGAGCTTAGCGGCGAAATTTCAGTATGACAGATATATGTAATGTTGGGCCATTACAATCAAGCACAAAAATTGATAAGGCGAATAGAGTTTGTACAAATACTATACACACATATATATATGTCATGTCCTGGGTGCTATTCACGTGAACATTATATCAGATGATCAAATTGGTGTCTTTGTTTTTTTAGCAGCTATTATTTCAGTCACACTAAGACGTTATGTTTTTGATATCCTTGTCACTTACAAGTTTTCATTTTAAAGTGACCAGGTAGTTCTGTAACAGCTTCTACAACTGTAAGTGTAACTACTTCTAATTTCTACTGGGCAGACATTTTTCTTTTAAAAAATGGCAAACCACTGTTTTGCTATCCACACATCCAGAAAAGATACTCCTCCAACACTATAACACATTCAGCATATTACGAGACTCCGTGATGTACTAAAACCTCCATGTCAGCCTAACCACCAGCATTGTATCGCCTGACAGACATCGTTTTGATAGTGTACACTGTACATGCTTGCTGCATTTAATACCGAATGGCAAAATGGCTCATCTTGTTTTGAAAGTACCTGGCGGTCATACGTCTTTCAGATGAGGCCTTGATCAATGCCATGTTTACTTTCGAAAAATGACCGACACTTCCTTACAAGCCTTCGGCATCGAGATCTGCCCCGGAGAAGAGTCTCTGTTGTACGGTCTGTAACTCGGAGAGTCGTTGTACGGTTTGTAACTCGGAGAGTCGTTGTAAGGTCCATGACTCGGAGCGTGGTTCCTCCCGTTCAGATGTTGGAGGTACGTCGTCATCTTCGCGTCGTTGAGAGGGTTGTTCGCCTCCATGTACTGGGGAGTATACCGGGACGGCATGGCGTACCCTTGCGGTTGCCGATTGATGTGCTCTTGAGGAGGTTTAGGATTGTAAGGATGGCTGGGCATATCTACCGGATGACCTGGGTTGACCTGGGGACCGACCCTGTCCGATTTCTTGCCCTTGTCACGTTTCTGGCAGCAAGGCGGACCGAGTAGTGTCAGGACCACCGGAAGGATAACCAGTCCGTGCAAAGCCCCTAGCAGAATAACTAAGAACATTGTTTTGAAAAACGTGCGGAAGATATAAGACACAGAGGTGGATAAAGCTGACACCCCAAGTATAGTAGAGAGGGCGCCCTGGAGAATGGGCATGCCTAAGCTGTACAGGGCAAACACCGCTCGCGCGTTGCGGTTCTTTTCTGTGCAGGATACGAAGGCGTAAGTGATGTGAGCCGAAAAGTCGACTGAAAAGCCGATACACATGATGATGTTGATCATGGAAATGGCGTCTAGATTGACGTCCCAGAAGGTCATGTACCCGACCACCCCGGTACAGATGGACGCGATGGACAGGGTCACCCAGACGGAACAGACGGGGTGGGGCACGAGGACAAGGGCCACCACGAACATGGTGGCTGTGGCGATACCCAAGTTCTGCAGGGTGTTGGGTAAGATAATTATATATTGGTCATAGAATATAAAATTGGGATGGTACACCATTGTCTTTATAGACATAGAGTCTGCTATCTCTCGCATCTTGAGCATCATATCTTGCTCTCGGTCTGAATTAATGATGTTTTTGGTCTGTACAAAAAAGCGAGTGGACAAGATAGCACTTTTGTCTCCATTAAATTCTATATCCAGTGCGTACCTCTCAAAGGCAGCATTTTTTAGAAATGGATCTGATAGGTTTGATAGGAAGGATGATTTGGTCGCAGCGCTCAGACCGGGTATGACGCCGGAGTATTGGTTGACGAACGCGAGGTAATCACGTAGCCACGACTCCGACTCAGTTCTGCCAAACGTAAAGTCGGTGTCTTCAAACTTCGCGAGAAGCTTTTCGACCTGATCTCTTGTACTTTCCTCCCAAAAAGCAAGTGGCTCTGTGATGATGACAGCCACTCTCGGCCCATATTCCCCGAAATAATACTGATCTTGTTTGTCGAAAAAATCGACCACGAACGAGTCGTCAGGGGCGAGCCTGCTGAGCCTTATCCCCTGTCGCACCTGCGTGCATCCCCAGATAGCGCAGCCCAGGTACGCACCATAGATAAGCAGAACGATTGCTTTGACCCACCATTTGGTGATGACGGGTCCGAAATACTTCCTGAAGAAGACCATGATAGCGTGGTCGCTGCCGTGATACTCTCCATTCCCGTCGACGCCCGCCATCGCGTTCCCTGTGCACATGGCGCGGAAGCAGCCCGACCTGTCTTTTGCCTCTTCCGGTGTAGGTACCCGCATGCACGTCGTGGCGTGGCGGTTGCCCTTCTCGCGGTGCCCTATATATACCATGCAGGCGCCGAAAAATGTGATCTGAAAGAGATAATCAAAAATCACGGCCGTTAGCGTGAAGATGCAGAAAATGCGGACGGCCGGGATGGGGGTGATGGCGCCGATGCCGAAGGCCAGTCCGTCCGTGACGGTTGTTATGGTGATGGAGACCGCAGCCTCCGCGTACGTCTCTCCCATTCGCTCCTCCACGCTGCCTCCAGGATGGGTCTTCCTCCAGGCCGCCAGCATGACGAACAAGTCGTCAACACCGATACCTGTAAAAGAAACAATTACAAGTACAATAACATTTAGAATGTTCTGTGTATCTCGGTGTAGTGTAACACGTGCCATGTATTCACGTGCTAGCTTGATAATACAGTACTACGTACTGGGTAATAGGACTCCATGTCAGGGGAATGGTTTGAATAATTTATGTGTTGTAACCGTTGCCCCACCTAATTCACATTACGTTCATGTTGAGACGATGGAAACGGCGTTCTTATCTCTAACTCATCTGTTGTAAATGTAATGGTGCTGTTTTCATCTATATTTTAGTTTGTCAAATCTAGACCTGGCTTTAAACCCTTGTTAAAACACACGAGAGGCGTTTCCTTTTTGCAGTTTACACATCTTTTGGTTCTATTACGGTAGCTGTTATCGACGATGACCATTAATTTTGCATCATTGCATTTGACAATGTTTATCCTTATATGGAGATAAACTTTCATTACGGAAAGGCTACATTGATGCATTGCGTGCAAGAATAAGTAGGCATGAATGCATGGGGATGGAAAACACAACACATGGTCGTGTGATAATATATTATAAGTCACAAAATAACGATGAAATTGAATTTTTGGGAAGACCGTATTCCCCTCGGTGAAGCATTCTAGGATGACAGATGACAGGGCATCGGTTACTGTCTAATCAATGGCAATTTGTCTCATCTTTGAACATAACGTAGCCCCAAGCAATTCAATTATGGGCTTGTTTTGCGTCTTTCCTGGCTGCTCAATGCGTTTTGTTTCTTGTTTATCACCGCAACATGACAAATGCACAAGGCACAATAAGGGAAGCAAGATATGCAGGATAAATACATCACTTACCCAGCGCTAGAAACGGCATGGAGGCCACCACACTGTTGAACTTGACTCCGCAGAACAGGCACAGTCCTATGGACGCCACGATGGCCATGCCGGACGACAGGACGCCGAGCATGCCCAGCCACGGCTTGGTGCGGACCATGTCCAGCATCATGCAGGAGAGGATGGAGAAGGTGATGAGGACCGCGAAGGTGATGGAGAACAGAGGGATGACGCTTGTGGTCAGCGCGGCGAGCTCCGACTCGAGGGCCCCGAACGTTCCGTAGCACACTGTGATAAAGTTGGATTTGAATGCTGCCATGTAGGACAGAAACGCAAGTTCCCATTTTTCGCTCAGCTTGTCGTCTGATGGCGAGTCCATGCGCAGGTAGTAATCTAGCCGGAAAGATTTGGCCTTTTCGACGACGTCGGTGCCTGTTTTTAGGGTAGGTTTGCCCAGCGTGCCTGCGGAGAAAACAGCGGAGCCACCCGGCAGGACTGTCCGCGGGTAGCTGATCGCCGTGCTGTCGTTCTTTCGCAGGGCGAAATCAAGGAAATCTTCCCCGCCAACCTGACACTGCGTTCCCCACTTGGAACACAGATCTGCGTGCGAATAGTTCTTCCCAGACACTTCAGCCTGTATCCCCTTGATAGCTGTGTTGAGAGAGTCGATTGCCGCCAGGGTCGTCGAGCTAAGTACATTATCGTCAGACGCTTTGCTTGTTATGATCACGTTTGCAGCTCTGCCCAGATTGATCAGACGGGTGGCCTGGAAGCTTGTGGAGTCGTTAGTCGGGAAGTGCTGCTGCACGTACGCACGCTCTGTCTTACCCCGGCCATCGTCAGGTGTGTACAAGTCTTCCACGCTCGACTCCGTGTCCAGGAAATACAGCCCAGAACCCAGACCACCGGCCACCAGTATGGACAAGAGCAGGAACGGCAGCGGGTGCCGGGCCAGAAATCTGCCGTACTGTCGGAACGAGCGGCTGATGATTTTATCAATGCAGTCGAAAGCCATGTTGACGGTCTATGGTTGCGCGATCCTCTGTAACAAATTATGCAGACGTGTTAACGTTACATGCCGAAATTATCATGATCATGATATGAACTCGGGAATACTGTCATCGTGACGGTACGTCAAATACGGTCAGTTTTTCCCGTGTGTCCCCTTGATGACAAGTCGGAACCCCGAGTGTAGGTCAGTTGCGGAATAACAATTTTGTCCCGTCAAGGGTGACCTTCTAATGGCTCATTTTGAGCAGGTTTCTGGGAGGTTTTACTGTCCAGACGAATGATGAATAACAAGCTCCTATCTACTTCCGGGTCAACCCGCGCAGAACACATAGCATGTTCAGTTTCTGTGAAAGCCGCCGCTTCAAATGTGTCAGTACTTAATTACTTCGCCGAAGGCTATGAGACCAGTAAGAAATGTGGAACACAAAACGCCATTGTTTAATTGCGAAGAACTATATCTTTTGCACAAGCTCTCCTTAAGGATGATGACGATCGACGTGTGATCTTGATACATACAGTCCGTTTGCGAGCTGGAGGCCATCGGATGAGCTAATGGCGCACATATGTAATGTATTTGTTCCTAACCTTGATGACCACACTGTCGTTATTTTACACCCAAATTCAATAACTGAATGTTCTAAATGTTTTCACCGGTTTTACGCTTTGACCAAAACATCATCCGTATTGAAATTACCTACAACTTGTGGACTGCAGGCACGGTCCAACACAGCTGTCTCGGCCGGAACACATGTAGCGTGCATGTGCTGACAGGGGACCTGGTTTTTCTGGTTTGGGGCGGTGACACGCCGCGTGATTGAACTTTGTGTGCGTTCAAGATGTGTTTAGCCTTTCACAAATATGAATTTACTTCTGAAAATTGTACATTTGTATTTGAAAACAACGTTTCTGACTTGTCTGTTTATTTGTCTGTCTGTTTGTTTGTTTGTGTTTCCACATACATCGGTCAGTGTCATTCAGAACTATGGATTTGTTATGTGGATACGTCTTAATTAAGAAGCCAGGAAACAATAGCGGTAAACTCCACTAGTCTGAATAAAGGCCATGCGGACATCCACTGAACTGCAGCCGTCTCACGGAACGCGTCGTCTACCGTACGACACTCTTGATACTTTGCGATCGCATTTGATATTCCAGATGCATGTCAGCTATAAGTCTTGCGTTTTGTCTGCTGACTGGTAGCTTTTAGACTCCAAAAATATATCAGTTAACGGTGAAGTGGAGACAAATGGCGATGAATGGTCTGGGCTTTACTGTTTATAACCACATCCTGGTTTGGCTCCATCCTCAAATTAAGATGGAGGCTTAGCTTGAATAGCTAATCTTTTTGGTTTATTGGGTCCCTTTTCCACAGAAGTGCTCGGTACACACATCGGTGCATTTGAACCACATGTGCCCTGATTGATGAAGAAGCAATGACACGTAACCCAGTTCTACGCGAAGGACGGCAATCTCCTCTGCACGCGGCTAGACCCCATAAAATGTTATGGAAGACGGGGCGGGAAGTAGTATCATGTGCGCCGCTATCTCAACAATTGTCAGGCAGCAAGCATTGTACATGTATAACAAAGGAGGTTCATTACGTGGAATGAAGATTTTCCAATAAGCTTGTCTCCATGCTGATCAGGAGGCGGATATACAGATTTCACATCCAAAACTAAAAAGTCTATACAATAGTAACGACTGTTTCATGAAAAACAGACTTGGGTTTCTGCCAGGCAACGGGCTCTCATTAAACACGTGACACAGCCGATAGCTGGGCTTCTGAGCGACCCATTCATGTATCGTTGGCCGGCTCCGAGCCTTTTACGCTTTATCGTACCATCGGGGTTTACATAAAGCCTCTCGCCCTGTCGTCATAGTCCCGACTGGTGAGAGATGAAATGTCAATGCTGGGTAAACGTCGCCATAGCGCAGGGACCGGGGCCGTCACATGCGGGGTCGGTGGGACGCGGGTCACACGGCGATTCTACCCGCTCCGGTAAGTACAGGTTACTACTGTATAAGGAACGGCGCTTGACAATGTATTTTTACTGTTAGGGATCTTGACTTCCAGTCGTTCAAGTGATAAATGTACGCCATTTGCTTCGAGCGATACATTCACGTCTCCCTTGTACGCCGAGGGAGCTCGAGACAGAACAATTCTTTAACAGCGAAAGGGTCAATTTTAGACACCTGTGTCAACCATGACCTTATCGCAATAGTAACGGTGGGACATTTGAATTCTGTACAGTAACGACGCCATCGATAATTCGATATGTTGTTTCTTTTGCTGATGACCTAAAACTAACACAACTGTTTTGTTACTAACGGTGATTCGTGCTACTGGGAAAACTACCGGTCCTGTAGCCGCTATCCTGTGGAGGTTGCTCTTTTGTGTTCAGGATTTGTTATTTTAATAAGCTGCAACATAAACGTACGGAAACATATCTCTATCAGATAATGCACTGACAATGTCTGACAGACAGACTTTTAATTGACTATATCAAAGGGTAACCTTAAATTCTGTATCGTCGTCACCGTGTAATAACAGCTTGATTTCCACTATAAACATCAACATAAGATTTAGTCACACCATTTAACTGTGTTTTTTTTTTCTTGAGGAAGCGTAGTTGTAAATCAAGAGACCTCATATCCAATCATCTCTCCTTCATGAAGTACATGCAAAACAAAGCGATCGTTTAGGGCTCGTGTGGTGAGGTGTTGTTCTTGTTTTTCTTATCATCGGCGTTGTTTACGTGTTTGTTCCATGGTCAGAAACTATACAGTTGATACCATGATAAAGCACGCATGATGCCATTCCAGAAATTGACTCCTTTGGCCATGTGGAACCAAGGAGGTTGAATACATGTATTTAACCTCCTTGGTGGAACGTACTGCAATGACGACTTCCTGCACACAAATCAAAAGTTTCACAAGGCTGTGTGGTCTGCTAGTGACCTGGGCAGTAGCCATTTCCTGTTCAAACGTACTATGATTCTTAGAATCATGTTAGAATAACGTTTGAGGTTGTCACTTTGTCAGGCAAATGTTTCAACTTTCCTCAATGTCACCGTTGGTTGACCTTAACTAATTTCGTCTGCTGTCTGGTTCACATTTGTCACTGTCGTTTCTTTTTTATTGTATGATTTTAAGCGAGTCTCAGTGAGTCTATGACAAGAGTTTACGCCAGTATTTTCATCACAATACAGCTGGATTTTGTAGGACACATCCACGACAGTCCTAGACCAGGCTGCCGTAGACCAATCGTACGTTGCATGTGACCAGGCCCTAAGAGAGAGAAGTATCTCCGTAGTTGGTGACCAGGATGCCAGTACCGGTACCTGGTTACCGGCTCGGGAGACCTTGTGATCCCGGGATACGCCAAACACGTACAAACACCCCTCCAGCTTTGCAAAACGGACCTAAACTTGCGTCTCAGGATCAAATAAACCGTAATCTTCCAATAGAAATCGCCAAATAATCCTTTCTTCATGACCTGAAAAAAACTACCTGAAGCTTTGAAAGAGGATTGATCTCTTTCTTAAATCACCTGACTGAGCGACTCATGCAGGAAGACTTTGATAAAGTCTAAACTTTAGCGTGGCCGACGCAAAACAAGAGTGGACAAACATGCTTATTGTGTTAATTTCCTTTGATTCCTCAAAACGTCAGATTTCTGGATATGCCAACTTGTGGACTACAGTACGATTGTGTGCGTGACACAGACTGTACGAAGCCGCGGTCCCACTAAAACGCCCCGAGTGTGGTCTAGCTGGTGAATACACGGACTTGATAAATTACACGCAGGCTGCAGGAGATAACACTGGACAAACAAGATACCAAATAGTTTGCTTTGTACTAGCCTGGCTGACCACCGATTACTTAGAAAACAGTGGACACGACAAGATAGCAATTCTGGCATGCGTTAACGAATGGGTAACGTGTAACATTCATGTTTCCCAAGTACGGTTGAAAATGATCCTTGTCGTGATTGGAAGATAACTAGCCTGGCCTACCCAAGAAACGAGGAGGGGAATTATGAAATCCAGGCGACCACGGCATGTACTAATATTGGCATAATTGATTTTGGGGGCTTTCAGATATCGCGTAGTCCATTAGTCAGATCGATGTTTGTTAGTGACTAAATGAAATGCTTGACTCCTTTTATCTGCGGATATTGCGTTCTCGCCGTATGCAGACAAAGGCGTGCGTTATCCTGTAGTCCGTATATAGCTGCCCTGGTGTCGACCCGTACTTACAATGATTGCACTGATTGGTTCTACTGGCCATGTGCAGTGCGCAGTCCGGTCAACGGTTTGTAGACGTCTTGCTTCTCGAGCACAAATCTTTGGGAGACTAAATTTTGGCACAGACCTAGCTCATCCAAGGGGCCTGGTCACGTTCGATTTACGTTAGCAAATTTAGGGTTATTTTTCAGTCGTGGACGTGTCCTACAAATTCTATTGTCTTGTGACGGGATGGGTTTCTCTATATCCGTAACGACGGTCACGTGTTTTTAAAAGGACATAAGAACCCATCACACTTCTCAAGATGAGAAGGGGTACACGTCAGTGTGTGTGTGATTAGCAAAACCTGATGGTATTAAGTTTGTTTCACTGGCATATAAAGCTTGGATGACATTATTGATATACATTACAATTCTCTACATTCTGTTTTACAGCATAAGGGGAATCCACCAATGAAAGACCTCGAAATCTTATCTATAAACATTCATCCGAGAACAGGGAAGAAAGTCGTTCCGGGCGGCCGGTAAGAAGATGTCCACAGGTCCGAAGCTGGCAGTCCCGCAAGCAGGTCGACTCGATCACCAAATCAGCACCACGGTCAGCATAAACCTCTCTGTAAGGATGGCGGGGGCTCGTAAAGAGAAACAAAAGAAGACACCTGTAGTCACGAAAGAACTGGTGCGAGAAGACGTGTACCTGACGGACAGCACCACCCCTCGCCCCGCCCCCAGCCCCATGGCGGCCGCCCATAGCCGGCGGATGCGGGAGATGGGGTATCCGGTGGAGATGATGGCCGACAAAACTATGGCCAAACGAACCATGCGGGACACCGTCCAGGAGATTCTCAAGCACAGGTCGCTGGACAGACAGCTGCAGATTGAGATGAACCGCCAGAGGACGCAGATGCAAGCAGAGGCACGACAGCTTCGCAAGAATCTCAGACAACTTAAGTCAAAGTCGACCTCCCAAAATATGTCTGAATCGACCCTTGTACAACACTCGAACCGCGCTTTGCACGCCTCTGTACAGTCGTTGCCAAATGGAACTAAAACTAGAAGAAGCACTTGGAACGTAACGTCGGGCCGGATTGTTGCTTTAAAAAGGATGCAAAAACCAAGCCGGAGTGAATCAACTGAAGACGCTGGCGACAGTAGTGAGGAAGAGGCTCGTCTGTGTTATGCTATTAACGCAGTGCGCATGAGTCAGGACCCGTCCGTTCTCCCTTCTGCGATGCAAGGGGCGAAGTCTTCCTTGAGACGTCCCGTACGCCGACACACAGTGGACGTGTCTGGGACAAAGTCTAGGGGAATTGTCCCCAAACATCGATGGCACAGTGTTTCAGGAGATAGCAATATCTCTCCCGATCTTGTGGCATCGTTTCCAAATTCTCCGCCGCTGTCGCAGGGACGGTACCAGGGGAGGGCCTCGTCAGACGTGCGCTCCAGAGACAGCTCCGTACACTCCGTCAAAGAACTGGGTCTGAACTGGCAGCTGCCATCGCGAAATTCTACGCCAAGGTCACCAACAGGCAAACGTCACAGAGACCACAAACCACTGACTTCTGAGCTGGATAGGAGACGAAAGGGGGAGAAAACCCCTGAGATTCAAGTGACAGACGAAAAACAAACGGACATGGAGTTAGGAAGGACTTGATACCTTACTCCGCCATCTTGATTAAAAGATTTGATGTGTATAATGTTATGACAACATAACTGTGATAAAATGTGCAAGTTCAAATTATGGTACGTAATTTGGTAATTTCTACTTTAAAACCCAGTGTGCCGGACAATACTTACATCATAGTCACGTGAGTGAGAACTCCCTTAAACTTCTTCATGATCAAACTTTCTATAAATCACCTGTGTTATTGCATTGTTCCAAGTAAAACATCGTCTAAAAGTTATGACACTGCCTTTATATTTTTACATAAGGTACAATAAGATATTAATTGAATAAAATGAACAAATGGTATAAGTGTATCATCATGTTCCATTCTTGTCTTTTCTCATGTACGTCTCTTTGTGGGTGAATGCTCATTGGAAAGTCATTTAAAAAGTCACAACACACACCATGTGGCATTATTTTCTTCATGTGTCTATGACACAGACGTCGACGCTTTGTTGACGTCTGTTCCAACACAGAAATATTACTGGAAATGAAGAAAGGTACAATTCAAATCGACGCGACATGTCCCAGACACAGTTGTACCAAGCACGTAGTAAGCAGAGCGATGCCATTGTTCCAGAGCAGACGGTTCTTGCCCAGTTGGCACACGCAAGTGTAAAGAGGCCAAGACTAATTGGCGCGTTGTTACCCGATCGTCAGTTCAACATCCACTTAATCTACTACAAAACTGACCCGACGTTACCACACGTGACGGTGCAGGGAAGTCCTGGGGGTTCTTTGAGCGGTTGATAATTGTTTGCACATTCACAAGTCAAATACTAGATCGTTTCGTACAATGAAGGTATAAAGCGTTGGCAACCATCAGGGAGGTTGGTGGCTAACAGCTGTTTCGGCCACTCGAAAGGCTGGGGTTTACTGTGTCCTTCTCAGGAAGGACACACTACTAGCTGTAGAATTAGCTCTCTACTTGTCCCTATACTATAGTCGTGTTTAAAACAAATGCTATGACGAAAGGATCAAAATAGCCGCAAGTACACGTATTCTGCATCTGAAGTGACTACCACAGCGTACTCTGAGTCCGCTAGAACGGGGAAGTGGTGATAGATATCCGCGTATTCGACATGACGCCATTTGAAATGTCAGGAGAATCTGCACCTATACGGAGTTGCCCATAGTAGCAACTTCGAACCAATCAATCAATCAATAAATAAACAAGGAAAGACTCGCTCCATCTTCGGATCTGATTACGTGCCGCCGTAAATAGACGGCCACTTATCAATCAATAAACGATCGTACCTCCACATACGGGTGTTGTCTCTATACGGAGGTGTGACTCCCCTTCAACACAGCAACTGCGTTTTTTAATCACACCGTCATCTGGGATCAGTACCAACGGCATGAAAAAAAATGTATCGCTCTATTTATTCAAGGGACACACTTTCAGTGAGTCCTTAATTTTCAAAATGTACATGTCTGTTGACATAATGGGGGTGGGAATCAAAAGCGTACAACCTTCTTTTTTGGCTGTTGCTGGCAGTAGCCCGCCAGTGCTCTGACAAAGTCATGGTAGTTAAACTGTCCATCCGAGTCCACGTCAGCTAACTTCAGGAGCTCGTCCACTTCGCGGTTGGTCATCCTGTCTCCGATGTGCGTGAGGAGATGTCTCAGCTCATGGGCCGACACGTACCCGAGCCCGTCCCGGTCGAACACCCGCAGTGCCTCGCTGAGCATCTCCTCGCTGTAGGCCGCGGCCGTGTCCTTCAGCTGATGGGTCATGAGCTGCACGAACTCCGGGAAGTCGATGGTGCCGCTCCCGTCCGTGTCCACGGAGTCGATCAGCTCCACCACCTGCAGGTCGGTCGGGTTCAGGCCCAGGGACCGCATCACGTTGATCAGCTCCTTCCCGTCGATCGTTCCGCTGCGGTCACGGTCAAATTCCCAGAAGGCCTAGGTGTCGGCAAAGGGAGTTAAAATGACATGTTTCTTGTGAAAAATGACCGACCGAAGATACATGTTCAAACACAACACAAAACGGTACATTCAGATTCTATCTACCACACCTATATATACTGAACTGTGTTTGTTTTATTAGGTCTATCATAGTACACAGGCATTAGTGCGCAAATATATCACTAACTTCCTTGAGTCTTAAACAGTACTCAACAATGCATTACGATATCGATCTTACTTGTAGACTGCCTTAACTGAAGAATGCAAACAAACTCCATCTATACACTTACAATGATATGTGACTGAAAAATTCTATCTTGCGTTATGATATAGAATCCTATGCGGAAAGGTCCGTGATGTGACTGTTCCGACACAGTAATACACCCCCCACCTCCAACAGTCTCTCATGTCATGTCATCTACTCACTAATCGGTCAAATTTCCGGAAGTTCTTGACGTGTCCGTTTCGCCTTGTTTCCGGCAACGTCAGAGACACAGGAACTATTAAAAAACGGCGTCTACTAGACTCACCTGTCGCAACTCGTCAATCTCTTCCTTCGGCATGTCCTTCGGGAGTCGTGTCTTCACAGACTTCTTTGTGAACGACATCGCGGGCTTTAGTTTCCCAATGTCGAGTGTCGTCTGTCGGTTTTACAGATACTATCTTCACAGCGCCACGTCTTCCCTGTTCGTCTGGTCCTCTCTCCAGGGTCAAAGACACATATTAGGACACTGGCATCGTGACGCCACTCCGGGGAAATTTCCAAAAAGGCGTTGTTAGTCAAACAGAATTAGGAGTTGTTGACCATTTACGATATTTGGGACGGATAAGTAAGCTATAATAAGGAGGGTTGAATGTGGGATCAGGAGTGCTGGCACTGGTATGTAGAGGATCCCCGTTTGTTAGAGTACCCTTCTCGACTGCAGGAAACTTTATGTTCAGTTGTTGAGCTATTCGTTATACTCTTAAACAGAGGGTAAATTTCGACTTCTTACACGATGGAGACTTCATTATTGCTGTTTATGATCGTTCAGGTTTCCTTTGTACCAATCCGATGTGGATTTTTTTCAAGTCTTTTTAGTCCTTTTGTCGGGCTTTCTACTCTGTCCACTTTCTATGTTGACCGCTTGTCCGTTTTGGGAAATGGCCCTCTATCAATGCCCAATGAATTTCAAATCGAGTAACGTGCTTTTTTAATTTGAGCACCAGTGCGTGAGAAAAACGACCCCTTTACGTTACACGTCTCTGAAACATTTCCCAGCTACTTGTAAAATAACGGGAAACGGATTTACTTCGTCCCAAAGTGTTTTCTAAGAGCTGTGTCTCTGGTAAAGACCAAATATCACTAAACTCAGCCTTTTGGATTCACGGGCAACTAATCATAGGATAATACAGCTACAACTTTACTCTAGATTGGCACCATTAACAAAAAGGGACAGACAGCTTGCACATTCCGATATATAATTCTATTGTCTCTTCAAGTCATCACATATTGGTTATCGGTAACGATCATTTTCTACTGATGATTATGTCTAACATTCACCCACAAATCTCATTTGTATGATATAATTGTAAATCCGTATGTAGATTAATAGTACATACACTACGTTCAAAAACACATCACACTATGATTCAAGTATCATGATAATACAATCACGCCAAAGAGACGTTGCAAATATGTCGACGCGCGCATACGACATTCTGAAATAGTACTCAAACAGTCCAAATAGAAGTCACATTACTTAACTCAGTACAATCATACATCATCGGAGGATTATTGAAAGATAGAAATCCCTTTGTTTCAAATGTAGGTATATGAAATTATATGTATCGTGGTATATGCCATGAGCCCACGTACACATGAGTGACAAAACTAGATAAGAATTTCTACTGTAGTTTCAAATATATTTCTTTTTATGTGATAACACGCTGTTATTGACAATGATTATGGTCACTATTGCTATTTATGCCTAAGTAAAATACACAAATGCAGAAAAATCAATACATATGTTATTGTAGATAATATACGATGACGTTATACATATATTGTTATCATATTCATACGTTGCTGATAAAAAATCTTTACATCTTTCACGTTGTTGGACAACATTTGGTGTTAAAGGAAAATTAAAAATTGGTGCAATACAATCTTCTTGACCTTCTGCAAGATAGGCCCTTCTGACACCAATGCTTTATCACCAATGCCGAGATTAAAGGTATAATTTCACTCTTTGCTGAAATTAATTTTCATTGACAAACACCTACTGTCAAATCAAAATTATAGATATTGGATCAGATTAGTACAAAGATTGATACCATAATGTTGTAATGTATATGCATATAGTATAGATATATATATATACTTTTAAAACATTAATTGGGTATTAAACTGAAGGTCACCAAAACCTTGTCTTTGCCTAATGCGTCAACCAGACTAGTAGTACCTTACAGGTATGTGTCTTCGCCCTCTGAGTCTCCCCCTGCAGCTGTGGAGACCAGGGTCCATAGGGCGTGTCTCCAGCTCTCCATGTCCTTATTGGAGCTGAAGATAAAGGTGAAGTCTCGCTCCTCAGTCACCAAGCGGAGGCTGGGCTTTCCTGTGGAGAGTGCAACAAGTAACATTAGATGGGAAGAAAATGTATACCCTACGATGGCTCGTGTATATGTTCTGCAATGACAGACGTAACTTTACGATTTACGTTTCACTAGTTTTGAAATATAACACATAAACGTAAAGTCAGCATAAGTGGGCCATTCGTTGCCTTACACCAATTTACCATAAATCATACACTAGTCTCGTCTTGGATTTAAAGGTGCCATCACTTCTTTTTTGCATTCTTTGTAGATGGGCCATCTTCATATCTGGGATATGATAGATTTTGCAAATGAATTCTGTTGATTGGTAACGTGGTTATATTCTTGTACTATGATACCCGACGAGCATGGCCCAAATGTTAACTTTGAGAAAATTTATGGATTGATATCTTAAAAACACTGAAAGCAAAGCCAATGCAATATCTACGGTGGCCCGTAAGTACAGGCATGCGTGTCTGCGCGAATACCTTCCTCGTCTGCGCGAATACCTTCCTCCTCTGCACAGAATACCTTCCTCGTCTGCGCGAATACCTTCCTCCTCTGCACAGAAAAGGGTATCCGGAAAAGGGTGTGCATGGGGTTTCGGTCTCTAACAAATTTACTTGTCTTTACAGTTGTAGAAAGGGTAGCCCATCAAGGTAGCCCTAAGCCCTAGCCTAGCCCATCTTTTCCGGATACCCTTTCCTGTGCAGACAAGGAAGGTATTCGCGCAGACGAGGAAGGTATTCGCGCGGACGAGGAAGTTTTTTCTGTGCAGACGTGGAAGGTACTCGCGCAGACGTGGAAGGTACTCGCGCAGACGTGGATGGTACTCGCGCAGACGTGGAAGGTACTCGCGCAGATGTGGAAGGTACTCGCGCAGATGTGGAAGGTACTCGCGCAGACACGCACGCCTGTACTTAGGGGCCACCGTACAATATCACAGCTGCCGTAAGGCGGAGCCCCGGGCCCCTACCTTCAACTGTGGACAGCTGGATACTGGAGATGCTTGAAACTGGAATCTGTCTGGTTTTGCTGTTGGAGCCCCACAGAAGGTTCGCAGCCGACTCATTCCCCACCACCAGCTGGAGCCTCTTCTTGTGGGTCCATCCTGTAGACGTCATCTTCTTCACCATAGTGCCTGTGAGCAAGAGCACAACGTGGTCACCAGTATTCATTTGGGTGCACAAAAAGAATATTTTCAACACATGATACTATTCTTAGTATAGGAGATGTGCAGTATGCATAATAACATCTGTCATGACAATTTGCATGAGCAAAGTACAGTAGATAGTTTGAATGAAAAGGATAAATGCTATCCTTTCACTAAATGGGGTATTTGATGCATCTTGGATGCATGATTATTACTAGAATCTTAGACTCTTATATCATTCTTTATGATGGAGCAGAAAAGACAAATACCTTTCTGGAGCATCTGCAGTAGTTCGTAGTCCAGCGTATAAGGCCCATCTGGATTGGAGTCTTTGTCACAGAATCCATTGATCAGTTGTTGTGGGAATTCAAGGCTACTTGATGTTGATGAGCCCTCCTTGCTATCACCATTTTCACATTCTGCCGACAGTCGAACCATGCCAGAAGGTGTCAAAGACACCTGTCTTTCAGTTATGTAGTAGGGGATGCCATCTTTAAGGATGGTCTGTCCTGTGAATTCCTTCACATTGTCTGACAGTTCAGGGACAGAAATGCAGAGCGTTCCTTGTCCGCTTCCACTGCGGCCTAGTACAATGACCTTGGTACTGTCCATTGGTCTCATTGTTACTGTGTCGTCACCGATGGGGGTTGGCTCGGATCCCTTGGACGTCAGCCCGCCAGAGTACACCTCTAATGTGCTGTACGTGCTGACGATAGTTGCATGTGGGAATGCCCGTGACAACTCACTCAATGTGCCTGATTTGGTACTGCGTGCATCGGTGAATATGTACCTGAGAGGCAGTCGATTCCATTCCTTCCTTGTTGGCGTGCTGACTAGCTCCTGGAGTAGAGCGTTCCAGAATCTCTGATGTACACCAGACAGCCTCGTTATCTTGTGGTCAGAGATACACTTCAGCAGTTGGGCAGGATGGAAGAGAAGAGCCATGGGGATGATAACCACTGGTACGCCTTGTAAGAGAGGGCCAAAGAGCTCCAGCATAGCATCTACACGGCCGGTAAGAGGAGACTTGAGACAGCAAATGTCATTGGTCTGGTGTGGAAAGTGTTGCCATGTTGACTTGAGTCGGTTTAACAACCCTGCATGTGTGCCCCTGACCAGCCTTTCATGTGTTCTACCAGTAGTCATCACAAAGGCATACTTGGAAACTTGGAATGGACAAGGTGTGGCTGAATGGCTGTTCCTTGTTTCCTCCCAGACCTTGTCAATGTTGACTATGCGCTTATGCATCTGTGAAGGAAACAGATTTGTGGTAGCGGTTATCTGATCTGTGACGATAGCCACGATATGGCATTTTGTGGTTAATCCAGAAATGATGTCTTCTGTTGAATTCAAAGGCAAGGGGCACACGGCTAGACCAGCTTTCCACGTTCCAAGGAGTACTTGTGCCACGTACCGGTTTTCTGCCATGTACACGGCTACCACGTCATCTTTGCTGTTTTTGGATGACTTCATGTCAGTCAGGACGGATGCCAGATGATCAGACTGCTCGTCGAGGGTCCGATATGAGACCTGGGCTCCTTTGAAGGAGACCGCGTGAGCTGCGGGTGTCCTTGTTGCTTGGACGTGGAAATGTCCGTGGATAGTTTCCTCTGCCATAGGTCGTCCATTCACGAGCAGTTCACTGCTCTTGTAAGGCACTGTCTCAGGCTTGCAGTTTAAGGCTGTCATTTCCACGGCATTGTGGATTTTCGAAAGACTCAAGTCTGGATTCTTAAGGCACGTGGAAAGCAATGTGACGTAGTCGTCCACAATGCACTGTGCAACCTCTTCATCGAACAGGGCCTTTGCATATCGGATGCTACAGCTGACAGATTTTGAGTTGGTGTCTTGGAACAAGTGGAGGACAAAGTCATTGGCGTAGTCATGGTAACCACTCTTCAGTAAGGTTATCCTCTTGCCAGCGGAGCCATTGAACATTTTGTTCAGACCAGTTTGGTCATTCTGAACAACGATATGCTGCATGATGGGATCCATCGTTGGGTGTTTTTCATATGACACCAATTTCATGATCTCGTCTATCGGATACATGCCGTGTTTCTTGCATTCTTGAAGCTTGCGGGAAGACTGTAGAACAGTTTGTTGGTAGGATTGTTCCTTGTCCTTGAAGGAGGCACTGAATGGCAGTGAATGCTGGAAGAGGCCATGGACGTTGGAGAATTGTGGAGCCAACATCCGCATGTCGAATGGACATGCAATCACAATGTCGTCGTGTTTAGTGTAGATGTGCAGCAGAAGCTGGTATGTAGTAGCCATAATGCTGTACACAGTGGTGCGAATGGTCTTTGCGTATTCCACAAGGCTGTGGACCAGCTCCTTGGGCAGATTAACCTCGAGTGAGCCGCCTTCTGGGCGGAAGACTGGCGGTCTCGGCTTGGCAAATGGAAGGTTAATGGATGGAACAGCTGTAGGCAGGGCTGCCCGCCAGAAGTCTTGTAGCTTCTGCTGGTTCTGTCGAAGGTAGTTATAGTAGTAGTGTATGAAATCACAATACGTCAGTGTTGCCATCGGCTGCTGGAGGGTTTTCCTCTTAAAGTGTGCCCGCATAATTTCCCCGAATTCCTTGAATAGTATATTGAGGCTGGTTGTGTCTGTTGAAATGTGATGCAAGACAAGTCCGATCACAGCACTCCGATTTCCAGTGGGGGCAACAATGCACCTTGCTGGGTACTCCCTGTCAAGTTGGAAGGGTACCTTGGTTCTCTTGTACACTTCTTCTTCAGCCTCATTCTGCTGATATCCCGTCAATACTTCGATGTCTGTGGCACCTTCAATTTCGTGATAGTACCTTGCCTCGGTCCCACTTGGTTGCTGAACGTCACTTGACACGTGATAGGTTGACCGCAGTGTTTCATGACGGTCCATCAGTTGCAGAAAGACAAATCGCCAGCTGTCGATATCAACGGGGATATTTTGGGTACGGAACATGATGTACAAATTCTTAGTGTAAACTGTGGGATGTCTTATCTGGTACTGAAGATACGCAGCTGCCTTGTGGATGATTGGTGTAGACTTGACAGGGCTTAGAGCGGTGGAAACCATAGTGGAGGTTGGGCTCGTTTGAATGTCGACTTCTTTTGGTGGATCGCTCTTGCTCGGTGGTTGAACGATTACACCGTCTTCTTGTAAGACACTCGTCATTCTATTCAGGACATCTTGTCTTGACGTCGAGATGAAGAAATGTCCGCCCGGCACAATGCACTTCCTGAAAGCTTGGGTTGAGGCTGATTCGTTGGAGGCAACAAGCTCCCATTTGTCAAGAAGATCAGGGGAGATAAATGGATCATCCAGGCCACCAAACGCAACAACATTGCATGGGAGTGGTTCATCATGCTTGCAAATGTAAGACTTGCACATTGCTATACCAGCCTGGATACACGGTAACAGACGTCGCAGGCGAGTGGGGTTGTTAATGACAGCTTCCGGGAGGAAGGAGAAGGTTTTAGCCTCTTCCATGATCTGCTGTGTTCCAGTTGAAGGATCAAACAACAAGGGTGATACCCTCAGTTCCTGTGGATGTGGATATGGTAGAGATGGAGCATACCATCCTCCAACGAATAGATGAGAAGGGCATACACTGCCTTTCACGTGGAGCAAATGGGCAACTTCAAATGCTATGAGTGCACCCATACTGTGACCATAGAATGCCACCATATTGCCATCCATCATGGTCTCCATGATTTGAGCCCCGAGTACCCCAACAATTTGCTGTAGACTGCTGATAGGAGATTCCCTTTCTCTGCTTTCCCAGCCCGGCAGAGTGGCGGCTACAACCTCGATGTTGTGTTTTGCAAAATGGTCTCCCCACTGGTAGAAGAGGGAAGGACCCCCACCATTTGCAGGAAAGCAGACCAGAGTGAGAGTTGGGTCTTGGAGTTTACCAAAGAAATGAAGCCATGAGCTATCTTCAGCAGGTACTTCTGGACCAGTTGCTGTTCCCTCGTTACCAGCTAGGTTGATCATCTTTTCAAAGATTGATTCACTGAGCATCTTGACGGTCATTTTGTCACTCAGGAGTTCCACGGATGTAACTGTCACCTCAAATTTGTCCGCTATTTCGTTGCTCATATCCACGGACAAGAGAGAGTCCAGCCCAAGGGATACTGGACTTGTTTCGTCGGTGATTTCTGTCGGGTCTTCAATGCCAAGTTGTTGGCATATGTAAGCAATCAGCTCTCCCTGTATGATGCTTAGGCCGTTTTCCCTTGTGGACGCAAGAACTTTGTCAGAAAGGGATACTGATCCACTGAGCACGTCACTGGGCACCAATGAGGTGAATCGAGAAAAGCTGGTGTCAGGGGCCTGTAGGTGTTGTAGTACCATTGACTTGTGGGTGCTGCAATATTTTCGAATATCGAAGTTTGCAGTGATACCAAAATGAGGATACTCATTCTCCATCATGCACCCAAGGATTTCCAGTGCACCATGTGGTGAAATGCTTTGCACACCCATCTTCTCCCACATCTTGACAAGACCGGATCTCTCAGCAAACCCAACGGTGTTGATGACTCCAAAACTGGCGACTGTTGCAGGCAGACCCTCTTGCCGTCTCGCTTGCCCCAGTGCTATCAGAGTGCTGTTGGCTGCACAGTAGCCGACCTGTCCTGTGTTGCCAAACAGAGCAACAACTGAGGAGATGAGAACAAAGTGCTTTAGCTCGATGCCTAGCGTCTTTGTTACATCATGCAAGATCACAGCACCAACTGCCTTTGGAAGCATGACCCTTTCCCAGTCATCTTGTGTTGTCTGATCAATCAGTTTGTCTGCATAAACCGCTGCACAGTGAAAGATCCCCTCTATAGCTGGCATTGTGTCACGCACCAAAATCAGTGCATTCTCCACAGCTTTTTTGTTGGTAACATCCGTTTTCACCACCTTTACATCGACAGAATTTGTAGATAATTCTTCCATCTTCAGTTTGGCTTCTTCATTCGGTTCACTTCTCGCAAGCACAACAAGATGACTCGCTCCACTCTTAGCCAGCCATTCCAGAAGGGCAAGACCAAACCCTTTCAGTCCTCCCGTGACAACATATGTGGCTTTGTTGGTAGCTTTAAACTGGCTTTGCTTGATGTCTAGACCCAGCTGTACTTCACTATCATCGACGGTCACGATATCGGGTATCTTCAATCCTTTCTGTTGTTGGTGCAAGGCACGGGACAGAACGGAGAGTTCCATGGTGGTTTGTGTGGATGGTGTGAGTGAGGATAGTGTGCCGTGGGACTGATCAAATTCTGAGAGAAGGTGTTGAATATCGTTTGCAATGGCAAGACGTGATGACTCCCCTGCTGCGCAACTACTGAAAGGATCCACAGAGATGTATTTGATGTTCTTTGGTAGTTGGTCCATGATAATTGTCGAACTGCCCAAATTGACTAAAGTTCCATAGTCTCGCAGCTTCCTTGCAGCTTGTAGCAGGACATCCCCTGCTCTGCCTCCTTTAGGTAAGAACACAACACTCGCATGCTTGTCTGGTATGTCTTCGTCCATCTTGCCATACGTAGTGATCGATACTGCTGACGTAGATGGGCATGATGCTGTTGAGCAACCAAGATTTTGTTCGATGTTTACACTTTGGACTGAATCTGTCACAACATGGACACGAGCCTTTTGGTGTAGTGCGAGGGAGCCATACGCCATTGCTTCCTTGCTGTCCTCATCAGGCAGAAAAACAACCACTGTATCTTCTTCACGCACTGTTTGGATCTTCTGGAAAAAAGAGAATGCTGGCAAAAATTCTCTGATTCTTGCAACTGCATCGTTCCATGAGAGGGCACTCGGCACAGGCACCAGTTGTCTCATCTCTATATTCATTTGAGGAGTGATGCAGCCCATGATGACTCCCATCACCCTTGATCCTTCCTTGACCCCTATCTCCTTTGGTATGTGATGTGCAGTCCCACAAATGATGTGAGTATCCTTGGTCATATCATCATACCTCTCCACCATGTCAGCAAAGGGAGACACGACAAAGGCCTCAAGCTTAACTGTAGCTTCAACTGGTGTTGGTGTATGTAGACTTGCCTGGGCTTTGCAGAGCTTCTTTCCGTTTTGTCTTTGCTTGGGGTCAAAGACCCATGATTCCTCGGGTGAACATGTTGTGAGTATCTGGTCAGGTTTCATGGTGCTCAGTCTCCGAGCGTACAGTTGAACTTGCTGATGACCTGACGAGCTGTCACTTCGAGCTGCGATTTCATTTTCTCTCGGATTTGACTGCAGGACGGTCAAAAGCTCCACAGCTGCATCAGTAAAGCTTTGGTGTGGTGTTAAGTCAACTGCTTTGACCTTGAACTGTGGGTATTCTTGTGATATCGATAAGCACAGAGATGATGCACTTGCCAGGGACGGGCTCACGATGTCTTGCTTTTGCACTGAAGACGATCCACGTGTGACTATCCAAAGTGCCGGGGGATGCTCCCCTTGTGAAAAGCGCTTAAACGTGGAAAGGCATTTGAAAGACTTAAGAGCATGTTTTTCTGAATCTTCCATTTGCTCATGTCTTTCTGAATCGCACAGAACAATGATGTGATCCAAATCTTGGTATTCTTGAGCCGTGTCATGTTGCACCTCGTTACTACCTTCGTTTTCAGACAGGACATTGTGGTTTGTCATGTCAACTACACATCCCAGATTATCCTGTAGTGCTGAACTCACCGATGAGCTAAAGGATTCATTTTCATGTAGGATCAGTACATGTTTGTACGTTGGCGCCTGATCTTCATTTTCTTCCTGTACAATGGGTTCCCATTGAAGGTTCCAAAGCTTGACTCCCGAGGATGAACCTGCTTCAATATCTTCAAACATGAGCTCTTCAACTTCGCAAATGACTTGGCCGCTGGTATCTGTTACTGTGATGTCCACCACTCTGCGCTCACCTTTCTTTGAAATTCGGAAGTGGAGACAGGTCTTTGGGGGCATTTTGTCGAACATGCACAGAGACTTCATGGAGAATGGAACTCGCTTTGACGGCGTCTTTCCAGTATACTTGTCATTCAGGAGGGACAGGCATGCAAATGTGTGCAGAAATGTATCCATGAAGGCAGGATGGTAGATGTACCGTTCAAATTCTCTTGAAATCTCTTCCGGTGCCTCAGCTGTGACCAGGGCTTCTTCATAGCTCTCAGATGTTGTGCATGAAGTAACGCAGTGGAACGAACTACCAAGATGAAAGCCAGCTTCTTTTGCAGCTTCGTAGATTTCCTCGTTTGAAATGGTTTTGGAACACCTCTCTGCAACATCTGTAAGTAGACTGGTACCTCCAACTGGTTGTGTCAGGTCTCCCTTGTGTACCTCTGCTGTGGCATGAAGGATCCATGACCCGGAAGCATCCTTGCTGTACAGGCCAAAGTGCTTCTCACTTGCACTTCTGTGTTGAAGTGTCGATTTGATTACTGCTTCTGATGTTGGAGCAAACATGAAACGTTTGAACTGCAGGTTTGTCAGCAAGAGTGGGTTTTGATCGCCATAGATCTCAGACGCTGCCGCTAGTGCCGTCTCCATGTATGCAGCAGCCGGGACGACGACGTTTCCATCTAGGATGTGGTGTTTTAGCCAAGGCAAAGATTCCTCTGTAAAATTGGAGCACCAAACCTTCGCCTTCTGGCTGTTCGTCCCTTCGGTAGTCTCCTGTGCTTGTCCGAGTAAAGGATGTACTCTTGGAGGAAACTTGTATCGTGATGAACTGGCGTCTGTTCCGGCATTGCAGATGACCCTTTGCCAAGGGTACGCAGGGACGTCGTGAACACGTCGGTGCTTTTCCTCAAAGACCGGGCTGAAGTTGATCGGGTACCCCTTCACATGTAAGGTTCCTGTTGCGATCAGGACGTGTTCAAGGTCGTCAGCTGCAGAGGATGTATCTCGTGGCCGCAGCAGAGTGGGTATGATGTTTTGCCTTGTGCTCCGGGAGTTGACGGTGCTGAAAATATCTCTCAATGCAGGACCCAAAGCTGGATGAGCTCCTATCTCGACAAAAGTGTTGTAGCCTTCCTGCAGGAGAACTTGTACTGACTGCATGAAGCGGACTTGTTGCCTAATATTTGTCCACCAGTAGTGGGCAGTGTTAGTGATCTCTGGTGACAGCCATTTGTTTGTGACCGTGGATATCATGGGGATCTGTGCTTCTGTCTTCCTGTTGGATGCTGATAGAATGCTCAACTTTGTGAGGATGTCATCCATCACTTGTTCCTGCTGGTAGCTGTGAAAGGCGTTGTTCACTTTAAGGAGGACACCTTTGATATCATTATCCTTCAGCTTGTTGTGGAAGCCATCCACAGCATTGACATCTCCTGAGAGTACGATCTGGTTGGGACTGTTTGTTGCAGCTACATTGATGGTGTTCTTGTTTTCATCTTTTTCCAGGAGCTCTTCTATCTCCCGAATTGGGTGCAGTACGGCGAGCATTTTCCCATGACCGCTTGTCTTGCTGAGTTCCTTGCCTCTGTGGTAGATCACTCGCACGGCATCTTCGAAACTCAATAGACCAGCAGCGTGTGCTGCCGCGACCTCTCCAACACTGTGACCGACGATGGCATCGGGTATGACGTCATACTGTTTCAACAGCTCAACCAAACCGATCTGCACAGCGCAAATGCAGGGCTGTGCGATGTCTGTACACAAAAACAACGTTATTACCTCCGGGTACGGAGGTATTGTTCTGTGTTTGTGTTTTGTGAATAAAAGTGTTTGTGTTTTGTGAAGAAAAGAATCGTGAAAAGATAATCAAAACAAAAGATAGACATCCTCATTCAGTATGAAAAGACAATCCTGTAAGAATACAACCAGGTGACAACCCTAAACATCCCAATCTGATCTACATCTTCGACCTACCTAAGCCCATTAAGACATAGGCTCAATGAAAGAAACAATACAAATTTACTGTTTTCCATTACTTTTCAGTATGCTCTGTATTATTTCATATTTCATGGTTGACATAATGTGTTAAGTTGACTAAAAAGAAAACACGCCTGGTCACTGATTTCCAAAAAAATATGTAGATATTTTCATCTTGAGGATGGTGAATTTCTGTATGTTGAGTTTTTAGCAAACACCTCAATTACCTTCTTCAGCTCAGAACGACGGCAGATGCACAACTTTTAGTTGTATATAGCAAAGAACTAATATAAGAATGTAAAACTGAGACAATCTTTTGTACCATCATCAAATCCTTGCATAGCATCGTCTTACCTGTTCTGTTGATCTTGTCTGGATCTGTCTCCCTCATCAACATGTCGACTATGGACCAGTCAGCTCCAAGTGTCCTCAGCACATCCTCAAACCGCTGCCAAAAAAGCAGAACCTCGGTCAACGGTGTATCTTGCAAGGTTGCAAAATGTTTATCATCGACTGTTTATAAGTGATACTTTTTAATAGTTTTATGGATGTCAGAGAGATTAACAAGCGTGAAAGATGTACTCACAGCAAGACATCCATTGTTTAATAACATCCAATTGCAACTACAAAGTACGAGATTGTCACTGTGGAATGTTAAAGTGGGTCCTTTGCAATATTGAACCGTAATTCATTAAATCTTTGCAGTCCACTGTTGTATCACTGTTAATACTATCAATGTGCATAGTGTTACCTGTATGACGTTCCTGAATACTGGATCCTCCCGAGCAAGTGTTCTGGCCATTCCCCACCACTGAGTTCCCATGCCTGAGAAGACGAATGCCATCTTGCCGCGCTCAGCTCCATCGGGGACTTTTCCATCCACAGCTGTCTTCACCTTTTCGTCTTTCTTCAAGAGGTTGAGCTTTTGAACGGCATCCTCTGGTCCGTTGACAACTACTGCTAGCCTTTCTACATGGTGCTGATAGCGGTTTGCAGCGGTGTACAGGCTCTGTTGGAAACGGTCTTCATTGAAAGCTATCGTGTCTGTAATAAACGAGATCCAATGTTCGACTTGTTCCTTCAAAGCAGCCTTGGTGTTCCCAGACAGCACCATGATGGTTTTCGAGTCATGCCCTATTCCTTCCCCGAGCTGACTTTGCATGGCTCTGTCACTATCAGCTATGGCTGGGTGCAGGTTGTAAGATGGGGATTCCTCCAAGATGAGATGAGCATTAGCTCCACCAAAGCCGAATGAGCTGCAGCCTCCAAGCCTTGTATCACCTCCTTCCCATGGTAGCAAAGTACTGGGAACCTTGATGTTTAGCACGTCAAAGTGTATGTCTGGATTTGGTGATGAAAAGTGCACCACCCTTGGGATCTGTGCGTTGTTGATCATGAGAGCAAGTTTGATGATCCCCGCTACACCCGCGGCGCCCTCCGTGTGTCCGAAGTTGGACTTCACTGAGCCAATGTAGAGCGGTAGATCTTCCTTTGTTCGTCCTCTACCGAGAATCTGGCCCAGCGCATTTGCCTCTGTTCTATCACCAACCTTGGTGCCAGTTCCATGTGCCTCCACATACTGGATCTTGTGAGGATGTACTTTGGCTGCTGCACACGCTTTCTCAACAAGGTCCAGTTGAGCGTCATAGCTGGGGTTAGCGATGCCTGGTGTTCTACCGTCATTGGTGAGGCTGCCTCCTCTGATGACGGCATAGACCCTGTCACCATCTGCCAGGGCTCTTGAGAGTGGCTTAAGGACAACTACACCGGCTCCCTCACTACGACAATACCCATCTGCAGAGGCATCAAAGCTCTTACACTTCCCATCTGGTGACAGCATCCCTGCTTGACAGAACCCCACCGTGGTTCCTGGTAACAGCATCAAGTTGACACCCCCAGCTATGGCCATGCTACAATCTCCTTTTCTGATGGCTTCGGTGGCAAGATGGATGGAGTATAATGATGAGGAGCAGGCGGTGTCTACGGAGAAGCTTGGACCATGGAGGTCAAACTCGTAGGAGATACGGTTGGCCACCATGCATGAGTTTGTGCCAGAGTTCGTGTATTGGCTGATGTTTGAAAAGGGGTTAACGGTCATCATGAGGTATTCACTTGACGTGACACCTACATAAACGCCGGTGTTGGAGCCACGGATGGATCTTGGGGGGATCCCTGCATTCTCCAACGCCTCCCAGGTCACTTCCAGAAGTAGTTGGATTTGAGGGTCTAGATGGTTTGCTTCATCTGAAAACATTGTTTTGCATATTAGCTTTTACGGTTATGAAGTATACGACATCCCGAAGCAGGTCTAGCACTACCCTCCAATTGGACACCCGCTGTATCAATGGACCAATCAAGCTAGTCGACACACCTGTCACAGCTCAGTAAAAACTAGATGTTGTTATGAAGAATTGTAAAATCTACAATAACATGTCAGAATAAAATACATCCACTTGGTAACTTTGGGGAAAGTAAGCCCGAGTGAAATGCTGAATGAAGCTAAAAGTTGCGTCCAAAGGTCACTTCCAGATTGGCCCATTTCTACTAAGTCAGTGACCACATATAGACTCAAGAACCGCCAAGGTCGCACCGTGATCTCTCATGGATCTGCAACTGTTTTGAACCCGTATCGATGCGCGGTAGCCGAGGATGGTGATCTGCCAATGAACGTTCAGAAGGCACTCAAGGGCCGCAGTGATCGCTCAACGAACGGTCGCAGCGATCGCTCGAACCAATGATACAGACACCCGTCAACTGATATTTAAAACAAAAACAGATCCATGTATTGACATCGAAAACAATGCAAATGCGATGAGTCTGTTTATTGACAACTTTTTTAAAGGTGTGCAGAAGTAGCTAAAGGGTAACCTCCACCAGGCATTCCTATTATATAAATAGGTTATGGATATGACAATCCGGGCAAGATATGGTCAGCTACAGTTCCATGACCTAATGCTTTCACCAAAGGATGTTACCCTTTACAACTGACGTATTATAAATGTTTCTCATTGATTATATAAGGTCCTCATTTTATAAACGATATCAGCTAAATGCATATTGTGCAAATTAGGACGTTGTGTACACGAACAAGAACCTATACCTTAAGACAGGACTTAAACCAGTGAGCGAGACCCTGCGTGCTCGCAGATGGAGATGGCTAGGCCATGTTCTTCGCAAACCAGCAAGTGATCTGACAAGAGTAACGTTGAGGTGGACGCCACAGGGCAGAAGAGCGAGAGGTCGTCCTAGGGTGACATGGAGAAGAACAGTAGAGAAGGAGGTGAGGAGGCACAGGTTCTCGATGGATGAGGCGGCGAAGGTGGCAACTGACCGGCCTAGATGGAGAAGCTACTTGGAGCCCCATGCGCCACCAGGCTCGGAAGGGGACTGAGTGAGTGAGTACACGAATGTTGCCTGGTTTATAACGCTGTAGGTGTGGTTTGTCCTGAAATATAGGTCAACGTATTTGAAAGTAGATCATGCACTCAGCCAGCTCTGACAGATGTGCAAATGTGGGACCATCTGTTAGATTCAAATCTGTCACATTTATACCAAAATCCTGCTGGATTTTTTTCTCTAAAACACTCTCCTAAAGCTAGCTGTCCACATTCCTGACGAATGATTATGGGCACACTTGACTTAGATATCCCGACAGCATGTGTGACGCAATTTCGGCATATTACTATACATGACCATTAGTACAGTCATTACTCAGCCGTTGACCAGATGATCTTACTCCAAAACTAATTGTCTTTGGCCGTGTTCATGTGAAGTCAGTGAAGGCGCTTTACATGTGGTTTACCCCGAAGCCGGTTTCAAGTGGCTCCATCTGAACGCTCCAAATCACATTGAAAGCGCCTCGATCCCAAACCACTTCTAGAGGTGGTTTGGAATCGGTTTTCCCGCATCGCGATTTGCGTCTGAACGCAATGTGATTTCAATGTAACTTCGCCTGGTCATGGATTACGGGGTAATATTTCTTTATTTATATGCAATACCAATTTTTACGTGGCAGCAACTTAAAGAGCAGTAATGGTCAAATAATGTGTCCGTTCTAGGGCGAGCTTCACCGCCTCTGGCGGGACTAGTCGGCATTCGGCCGAGATACGCTATGGGAGGGGGGCATCAGCAAGCAGGTCGTTGACCTCTGACATTAATAACACGCCACCTTGCGTGTTATCATCAAACTGCAATAAATGTAGCTCAAACGAATTGTGTTCGGACACGGTTTGTGGCACGTGGACCAGATGTGAGGAATGATCCGAATGTGAGTTACCCGAATCGCGGTTTGGGTGATTTCACTTAAACACGGCTTATGATGTAACGTAAACCGGTGAAGTTACATTGCGTTCAGAGTGGAGTCGGAATGCGTTGAAGCCGGTTTGAAACTACCACCCGAGGTGGTTTGGAATCGAGGCGTTTTCAGTGCGATTTGGAGCGTTCAGATCAGATGGGCCCACAAGAATCCTGCTTCGGTGGAATCTGAATCGAAGGCGGTGACAGCGTTTTCGTCTGAACAGGGTCTGACAGTACCTGACGGACTTACGATCCAAATCGTAACTTTACCTATCTGGAGAACTGCTTCATGTCCTAAAACGTTGGTTTGAGCCGACGCAATCTACAACGATACATTGCATATTAACACACACCATGTAACCTGCATATTCCACCGGTCCGCCGAAAGCGTGTGCGACAACCTCCGCGTAAACTTGACGTGAGCCTGCTACCTCAAAAGGCACGGGAACTGGAAAACAATGTGTCTGGCCGTATCGACCAGTTACAGGATCCCTGTTCGCCGGAAGTGAGTGCAAATGGGCGATGGGGTCAAGTCAGCAGTGTGTCATCACACTCACTCAGAACCGTAGCCGCAGGCTGAAGTGTAGGGGCAGTTAATTATAAATTTGCCTGTACTGTCCACAAAAGTTGTCCACCTCTGGCGGTCGTCGATCATTCCGGTCAGCACGAGAGCCGTCTCTCCCGACCAATCCTTCATGCCGTTGAGCCATGCTCTTTGACAAGGGGTCCCTTTTGCTCTGGATACGTGTCCAAACCACCGCAGCTTCTTCTTTTTCACAGTGGAAAAGAAGCTGGGCATTGTTCCTGCCAGGGCGGAGATACGTGCAAAAGAGGTCCCTGGGCATCCAACGCGGCGGCAAACTGACTCGTCATGGTTCGAAAAAACCACACGGATATAGAGAGACTGATAGCCGAAATGGGGTTTGCAGCCAGCAGTCTCTAACTGCAGTGCGCACGGTCAACAGAACGCCTACGAGATGCCCACTCGAAGCTCCGACGTACTACCCGCCGAATGAAGACTCATGATGAGTGGTGCAGTGGTACCGCAAGCGGAGGAACTACAGGGATATACAGACGCACACATGACCAGGGCCACCTGCGATGGACTGAAGGCGATCTATGGGTCCCATACTTAGGCTCAAACGGTACTCAGCGCAGACGGGTCAACTGTCTACACACTGTCTAACGCACGTCGGACGAAATCCTGAACCGATCGAAGGAGTATTTCCAGCAGGTCCTAAATAGACCGTAACGTTCGACGGAACAGCCGACGCTGCTCAACTTCTCCCGAACACCATGGAACACCAGCCAACAAAAAGCCAGCCATGGCCGAACCTTCTGTCCGCACACGAATGCTTTTGAAGACAGTTTGAAACAGTTGGCTGGTGCAGCCGAACAGTAGCCGATCTCGTCGAACACCAGCCAACCACAGTTAGCCTTGCTCCGGACCTTCTCCTAACCATGCATATGGTTGAAGGGAGTACGGCAGTGTTCGGGAGGACAGGGGCTTTAGCAAGGTGCTGGTTGCCCATAATTTTATAATTTCTAGATTTCATCAAGACCTGCGGGGTATACCCACCTCCCAAATATCAAGACAGTCCACTCAAGCCCTATCCAGTAAGCGTGTTGACTGACACACAGACACGAACGCTACCGAAGTCAGGGCATAACCTTCTTAAACTTCTTAACGAAAAGACAGGGGAGTGAACACCCATAAGGGTAACATATATTCTTGAAAGAAAACTTAAATCCCCTGGCAAATTGTTCTCCCTGTAGCCACCGTAGTTAGTCTGGCGGAGACTACCGAAGCCTGCATCGACACAACTCCCCGCGTACCCACATATGTCATGCCAGGCCCGGCCGCCAGAGGCCTTCCCTTGACAAGCGAAAACTACACGAAGAACAACCACCGTTCTGGAGAACTTAGCTATGGGTTAAATCAGCCTGTCACTTAAGGACGGCTCTGTGCCACAGGTGTAGAAGGATGCAATAGCCGTGCAAAGTCTAAATCTCCATTTATTCACAGGCCATACCTCTTGTCATTATGTCATAACAAGTGACAGTGACGTGGCGATACTGTAACTATTATCAGACCCTCATTGCCCCACATCAATGCAGTAGTATTCATGGATGGTCCACAACTCACTCACCTTGAATATGATTGACAACTTGTGCAAATGATTGAACTCATTATCATTATAACTTCGGTGATGACAGATTTTTCAATTGGATTAGACTTTAGAGCTATATGGTCACAATAGGTGAGTCAAAGGTGAGTTGAGGAACTATTAAGACCAATCAAGTGGCACCAACGTGGACGTTATGGAAGTAAAATTGTCAAAACGTGACGTCCTGACATGTTCCATTCCTCAGTGCACACTTCTACAGCCAAACATCTTTTTTGTCCACATTCAACAACATCCAGCGTATGTAGATAGAGTACATTCATTGACATGAATCAATACATCACCGTCGAACCTTTTAGTATGCAAAAGAAGCTAGATGATACAATATATTGATGAAAATTCATCCTAACACAATAGATAAGTGCATTGAATTTTAACTGTCCTTCTGTAGGCTCCTTCAACATGGATAGGTGCTTTCTTTTGTCACAATGCTTAGGATAAAATAGGTCTTACCTGGTGGGATTTTGAAGAACTGTCGGTCGAATTCAAACACGTTGCACTGTAGGTAGCCGCCACATCGGTTGTACAGTTTGCCCGGTGTTCTGTTGGGATGCCAGAAGAACGAGGCGTCGAACCTGTCGTCAGGAGGCGGGATCGTGCAGTCCCTTCCCTCCGCCAACATGGACCAGAAGTCCCCGGGAGTGTTGACGCCACCGGGGTAGCGACAGCCGATCCCGACAATCGCTACCTTTCCTTCCATCTTCAGACACTTTCCGTCTATTTCACTATTTAAGTCATCGAAAAAAAATACACAGACAAAACCGGTTCTACAAAGAGTCGATGTGTCAGTGTGTACGGTTGAGTCGAGGTCTGTCGATCTCAACACCAAAAGTGGTTCCGTCTTATGGTTTAACCGATCGGGGCGTTCGTATCTTTGGGAACCACTAGGTATACCCGCGAAAATGTTCTGCTATTTATAAGGCATTACCTTGAAGGGCATGTCAATAGAGTTCTGCTATTGAAGGCGTGTTAGCCAATCAGGTCTTGGTCTCCACCCCTTCGGTGAAAAAAGACATGATCTCGTTAGTTTATAAACTGTGTTATGAAACCACGACTGTGTCTCTATTGGTTGCCAAGGGGCACTGCCAGGTGAGGGCGGAGTCTGGAGGAGGAGTTGTTACGAAACACAAAATATTGGAGGCTTTACAGCTTCAGAATGCAGAAAGGTGACCTACATAGGCATTCAGGTGTGAAAGAAAGACACATATTTCCAGCTTTAATTTATGCGTCATGTAATATGTACCATTTATTCGCCCCTTCTCTCGGATCAACTGGTTTTTGGTGAGCCCAGATTATATTTGACATGAGGGAGAGTCTCTGTCCAAAGAAAGAGGTAACCTGAGGCAGGTAATCAACCCTTGTCCAAATAGTGGATCTCCGCCCGAGTGGACGCGTGTCCTTTCGCTATTTCCACGTGATCGTACTCTGTGTGGTAGTTGGTTTGTTTTTAGGTCAGAACATGCTTTAATGTAGGCGTCATGGCTCTTTCATACAACTGCAGGATGAAAACGCCGCAGGATCACCTCGAACGTCTGTACGAGTTCTATGGAAGGCTGGTGGCACGTAAGGCCGTCCCTTTCCTAATTGGGTCTGTGCTCGTTGCAGGCATTTTGGGGATCGGTTTTATGTTCATTCAAGCAGAATGGGACATTCTGTATTTGTTCAGCCCCGAAAATGGACGAACGAGCAAAACTCAAGCTGTCGTCCGCAGCTGTTTTCCTACCAACTATTCCGATTTTTCCCCGGACAGACAGACGAACGCTGGTAACTTCGCCAAGGTCATCGTATCTGCAAAGGAGAGCGACAACATGTTGAACTGTGAACTTGCAAGAAACGTACATACAATACACCAAGCTATAGTGACGATGCCTGTTACCGTAGGCGAACGCACTCTAATCTACGAGGATCTGTGTGCGAAGAGAAGTAAAACGTGCGTGTATCCCCCTCTAGTCGGCCTGATGAGGCGGCAGTGCCATGGGAATGCAGGGACGATGAACATTACTTTCCCAATCGCGAACTACCACGAGAATGTTTCCGTGTTCCTCGGCCATCAGATCGGCGGGATTGAATATCTGCCAGACGGAAGGACTCTGAAACGAGCGAGCGCTTTTCAGCTGTCTTACCATCTCCAGCCAGATGAGGAAGGAAAAGCTGAAGAATGGGAGCAAGCTTTCACTCGCAAGGTGTTAAAACTCTCCACAGACAACTTAACTGCGGTACCTCTTACATCCAGAACACTTGAAACAGACATTATGGACACGAGCGCTGTCGTTGTACGCCGATTTGCACTGATGTTTGCCCTTGTCAGTATTGTATGTTCTATATCATTGAGCGCTGACTGGGTTCGAGCCAAAGTGTTGGTCGGAATGGCCAGTCTGTTTGCCCTGGCACTGGCTTTCCTGTCGACATTCGGACTTCTACTGTGGTTCCGGTTCAAGTTCATATCTCCTATTGGTCTTATTTCCTTCCCTATATTAGGTAAGAAAAATGTATTTTATCCAGTGTATTTTTTCTCGCATCTAACACAGATGAATATGTGATGAAATTTTATACTTTTATTCAACACAAGCAAAAGTAGCTCACCTCTAATTGTCAGTCGCTCTTACGTCAACCTTCTTTATAGGAGTGAATAGAGTTGATTTAATTACTCAGAGCACGTGACCATAGGCACTCGTGAAGATGGTCAACGTAAGAGCGACTGAAAATTCGAGGTTTGCTACTTTTGCTGGTGTTGAATGAAAAATATCATATTTCATCATCGAATATACCGATACAGATGAGCTTTCATGCTAATATAGATGAATATAAGTTAACGAGCGTGTTGATTTCATTCTTGCAACGTGTCATTGGCCACACCTTTACCCTCCTGTAACTTCAATCATGAAAAATGCTGTCCCATTGTATTTATCTCCTTTGTTGTCATCTGGTGTATGCCAAATAGATCAAATTCAAGACTGTGTACATGTAGCCTGCTGGGGCAGGCATAGTCAGTCATTTGTCCGTTTATTTAGTCATCCATATCGTTCTGGCTACTGTTGTGGACATTTACCATGCCATCGTGTTAATGTTATAAAACCTAATAAAATTGAACATTGTGGTACAATAATTTACTTCATTTTTGTGTCTTCCAGCACTAGAGGCTGCAAACAGACTCCACCTGGCCGCATCGTGGTGGAGGACAGACGAGACCGCGGCTGTACCGGCGCGCCTGGGGCGGACCCTCCGGGAGACCGGGGTGCCGATGACGTGCACTACGATCGTACTGGCCGTCACGTATGGAGTCAGCAGCATCACAGACTTTCCCGGGTTAAGAACTTTCTTTCTTTTCTCAGCTCTTGTTACTGTCTTTGTGCTCCTTTGCCAGTGCACTTTTCTTGCAGCTTTGTTCGGTTTAGATGGGCGAAGAGAAAATGCAAACAGGCATGCCTATGTAGTGTGCAAGACAGTGTTGCCAAGGTCCGAAGCAATTGATCAACCCTTGATTTATAAAATTTTCTGTGCCGGAGGACATTCTGTGAAGGATACAGAACCATGGCAAGCAGATAAGAGAAGTCTCGCAGGAATTTTGCATAAGCGCATTGATACGTTTCTAGCTATGCCTATAGGGAAGGTTTTGGTTGGCAGTTTCTATTTGATATATGTCGGTGTAGCTGTCTGGGGTTGTCTAAATTTACAGAAAGATTTTAACTTGCGCAGCGTTGTCGCCGACGAATCGGTGTCAGCTTCCTTTTACAAATCCGAAGAAAGGTTCTTTAGTACGTTCGGCCCACCCGTGTCTGTTATCGCTGTGAATGGAAATGAATATTGGCGTCATGAGTCGTTGAACGGCATACTCGACCTGAAGACCGACATGGAACACAGCGGTTATGTGTATGATATCAATGAGACCGACGAGGGGCGGTTTTGGCTGTCAGAATTTCTCAACTTTGTACGCTCAGCCGGTGTCACAACTGACAATCAGGACGAGTTTATGACTGTCTTGAAGTCCGAGTTTTTGGTGGATAAATTGCATAGCCTATATATTTCGGACGTCGTGGTGGATAATAACACAATATCGTGTTCTCGTTTCGTCCTTCAGACTAAAGAAACGTACAGATTCCGTGATAGTGCCACAGCTGCTCATGAGTTTCAGAAAATTATACAAAAATACAATGTGGACGCCATGGTGTTCCATCCGTCATTTTTCTTCAATGACATGCTGACACAGATATATACCGAAGCAGGTAGATTCTTCCTGGCACTCGGAGGGAGCTTGGTCGGGTTTGTCTTTCTCCTTACCCTTAGTCCAATATTCGCGTTGTTTTCGGCCGTGTCCTGTGCTTCGATTTGTGTAGGTATCATCGGTTTTTCTACACTTTGGGGAGTTACTCTTGACATTAACAGTTTCATGTCATTTTCACTCGGAGTTTCATTCTCGGTTGAGTACTCCCTGCGAGTCTTGCTTCTGTTTGTTAGTGTTCCTAACGCTGGCACAAAACAGACATCTATGTCCATAACAGGACCCATGTCACTGCAACACTTTGTAGCGACGGTATGTGCGGTCTCCGTTCTCTCTACTTCTGACACGATGCTGTTTCGAAGTTATTTTAAGATTCTATTTCTGACAATTCTGTTTGGTTTCCTACATGTTCTCCTTTTGCTTCCATTGTGCCTGTCTTCAATTTGCAGTAAACTGCCCTGTACACGGGCTCCGAGAGATAAATCAACTGACGAAGTCAGCGAAAATGTAAAGAGTCAAGACATAGTCATGACTAATCCATATGTTATGCAACTGTTCTAATCTCAATATTCCTGCACCCATGGTATCGCTATTTCATGTGCCTCAGAAGATGTGTGTCTAACAGATTTGCTTCCCAATATCACTTTCTTCTTCATGTTTTGCCAATAAGACAACGTATTTGTATCGTGTAAATATTCTGACGTAGTTCTATGTACTATCTTAAGCAAAAGTGCTATATGTTATAAGTGTCAGCTTTTTTAATAAATCGTAATAGTTCTGTATGAGCATCATTTTGTAGCATCATTAAGTTGTGACTGTAAGATATTTTAACTTTTCATTATTTGTTCAAGTTATGTTGTGTTCGATGATTGTCTCGAAGTGAAGGTGTAACCGTTACGGCAATGTCACGGATGCGTTGTTTAGCAAGTGCATGTAACTCAGTATGTACTTATCGGTGTATGAAAATAAAGGCACGAGCTAACGACACGTGTGTTTTACATATTTCATTAATCGCCGCTGACCATCACATGACAAGGAAAGTTGCCAGGAGACCCAAAATCGACAGTGGCCTTCCGAACTTCTTCCCAAGACTTCTTCCCACGTACTAAATATGATCCAGACCTTCATACGTTATGCTAACACCATATATACAGATAAACAAACAGATAGACAAACAAACAAACAAACAGACACACAGATAGACTGTCACACACCCGTTTTCAATGGCGGGGTAATATTTCCTGTAGCCACGCCTGGCGTGATGAGTTGAGAAAGGTCCGAACCTCGGATATACTATTAAAGGAGTACTAACCTCCAGAAGGAAGTGCTATTTTCCGATACATCATGCTGCAATGAACACATAACTAGCCGACTTTTTACATAATTTTGCTTGTACGACTTGCGCGGCGCATGTTTGTAAAGTGATATTAATATCATTTTTCCCCATGCTGACCACAATTGATACATCCAGGAACTCTGGCTTGCGCAATACTCATACACTTCAGGTCAAAATATACATTTTTCGGCGAAAATGGGAGGAAACAAGCACACTAATACGCTGATTATTGAGAAATTACTTGCTTTACTTTGCTTGACCTGTGGCTTGGATATTATAATATCAGGATGTCGAATACAGTGGTAGCCAGTTTCATCCTGCGTGTTTTGATTTATTAACTTATTTGCATGTAAGTATTACTTGAACAGGTAATTAGATTACGCCACTTATGGAAAGGATAACTAGATTACGCCGTTTTTTTTTCATCGTCAATATTTGCGGCATAAATAAGGGGCGATAAGGACACCAAAAAGGACAATGGTTGGTAAGATACCAAAGAACACAAAACGGTACGAATTTTTCTTATCGCCCCCGAAATGAGGTCTGTAAGTACTAACGTAACTTTTTGTTTAAAGCATATGTGGCGATGCTCCCTTCTAGTACGGTGGTCTTTAGAGCTTCGTCCACAAAAGATTAGTCGGAAAGTTGTAGTTGTTAGTGTGGTTTTATTCCCAGTTAACGGAGTTACACAAAGTATGAGCCTCTCTCGCTCCGCTCAAGAGAAGACTCCCCTGGCCACAGCCAGGCGGAGACTCTCCAAGAGAAGACTGACTCAAGAAAACATCTATCTCTCTGATGACAACTCTGTTTTACCTTGAACTAAATTAAGGGACTTGGTTACTTCTTTTTAATGAATGGACTTCTTATTACTGAACTTGAAGTTGTCCCTAAATCTGTGTTATGTGGCCTAGAAGAAGGGACTATTACCATATTTAGTTATGTTTTACGGTCCTACCTTACGTAACCTAGAGTATACGTGTAACCTCAGTGTTCCACCCATTAACCCTTACATTCCTACTGTGTCCTTAGACTGTGTCCTTAGATGTCCTTACAGTGTAAACAGTGTCCTTGAATGGTGGATGACCTTGAATGTCCTCAGTGTTGGATTTATATTGATTAATATAGATATTAAATTAACCGTTACGTCATCTACTCCATCTACTACGTGACACATAGACACCAATGGGGTAGCGTGGTGTATTCTGGGATAGTTTTGAGGGTATTTGGAGAGTTTGTCCTGGATTCGATGCGTTTTAAGACTTGCGCGCAAAATGGGCATTTAATTGTATACTGTAAAATAATATGCATTTTTCACTTCCAAAAATAATTGCCTGTCGAAATATAGCACCCCCTAGCCTGGGTACCATCCTACTTGTATAGCGGGGCTCCCATACTCGCTTCCCTAAGAAGTACTTCTTAGCTCGGAAGCGAGTGTGGGAGCCCCGGCATACAAGTAGGATGGTACCCAGGCTAGATCAGGCTAAGCACCCCCTTCTGGAGGTTAGTACTCCTTTACACCCAAAACGATGACCCCGTTGCGGGAACTGATGAACCAGTTCTTGCCAGCCAGACAGTAGGTCAAGAAGTAGGTCAGCTTTACTGTCACTCACTCACTCACACTCACTGCACGGCTTAGCGTCCGTTGTTCCCCGTCATGCAAGGGTTGGACGTCGTGGGGTGTCGTTTGGGTCTAATAGCTGCTCTCCAGCTGCTTCTGTCTAGCGGGTTGGCCTTCTGCAGTTTCAAGTTTTTGACATCTTCCCTAATACTGTCTACCCATCTCTTTTTTGGACGGCCACGCGGGTTTCGTCCCTCTACGGGCATTGTCATGACCTTCCTTGGCCAGTTCTGCGGGTCCATCCTTTGCACGTGCCCATACGTGCCCACGTCAACACGGTTTAAACTTAAAGGAGATCAGGACTAATCATTCAAGCACAAAACCCAACAGCTGACTCCTGGGGGAGGTTTCCGCACAATGGTTGCGTTTACCTTAGATTGTGGCGGCACATTTGTTCAGGTATTTGCCGGGCTATAACAGGTAATTGGACACGTGTATGAATAGCTACGAGTATTTTCCATGAGATAACAGGTGTCTAACTGTTTTCGGTACCGTGCAAATAACAAACAAACATGGCACCCCACTCGGTTATGCTCTATATATTTAGCATTAATGTGGCACTCAAGCTTCCTTTGTGTCTACAGTAATTGGAGGAGCTTTCAAGATGAAAGGCGAAGGCAGGAATTCAGACGATAAGAAAATCATCCGGAGTGATGGTTCAATGTGCGAAGTACAGTTTTAATAGCAATGTAAATCTGAAATGCATGAGGACCAGTGCTGTCTCCAACCAACCAACCAACCACCCCCGTATGTTTCAGGGGAAGTGAAAAAAATGTTTACCCGAACCTGAATTGCTTCTGAAAAAGCGTAAAATAGCGTTGCAGAGGGTTTCGGGTTTTACGTTCAGATGAAAATTTGTCTTCCATTTGCCAGCATTCGACCTAAAGCGGCTAGGGTCGAGGGTGTCTCAGTAAGGGTTGTCCGGGAAACCGGAAAAAACCCTTTCCCAGACCTGATGACCACCACATTATAGTCCGAAGTAGGACAAAACAAGGAAAGCTCACAGGAGACCCAAAAACGACACTGACTTTCCGAACGTCCTCCCCATGAAGACCTACCCTAAGGCATACAAAATATCATGACGGTCCATCAAATAAGACAAGCTAACCTCATCTATTTGACACGCAAACGGATTGACAAACAGCCATACACACGTGTACATACAGGCACACCCAGAATGATAGCCCATTCAATGGCTGAAGAACAGACGAACCAGTTCTTGCCAGTCAGAGCTAGTCCTTACCAGTCTAGGTAAAAAGGTAGGTCAGCTTTACTGTCAGCACTGTTGAAAGAGATCGGAACTAAGCATTCAAGCACAAACAACAGCTGAATGGTTGCATTTGCCCTAGCGTGTGGCAGCATATTTGTTCAGGTATTTGCCGGGCCATAACAATATTTGAGCACGCAGGTGAATAGCTATGAGTATTTACCATGACATAATAGGTGTCCGTCAGGTCGTCCACCTGTTTTCGGCACCGTGTGAACATGGCACCCACTCGGTTATGCTCTGTATATTCCTCATCAATGTGGTACTTCTGGACCTTCCTTTGCGCCTTGAGTAATTGGAGCTTTCAAGATGAAAGGCCTACAGGAGATGACAAAGGGATTCCAGACGACAAGAAGAGAATAATCCGGAGAGATTCTCATCTTGAACTAGCACTGTACGAAGGGTGTAAGACTGTCACAGGAAAATGCCAACAACTTTCTACAAATACAGTTTAACAATATAAATATGAAATGCATGAGGACTAGAGCTGTCTCCAGGATCCCCCCCCCCCGTATGTTTCTGGGGAAGGGACGAATAAATATTCACCCGATTGACTGGTTAAAAACTTTCTACTGAAAGAAAAAGAGTGCAATATCTAGCGTTTCTATATGGTTTGAAATTCAGATGTGATCGATGAGATCAAAAATTTCATGTCACTTGCCAGCGGTCGACCAAAACAGGCTAGGGTCGGTGGGTTCCTTCAAGATGACTCCTTTATTTTCTGGGCGGTACCCAAAATATCAGCCCAAAATCAGTAGCCGTTTTCTGTCACAATTTTCGATATTTTTGCTCCGTGAATGTCGATATAGATTGGGATGGTGATTTTTCAACTTAACCGATGATGTAGATAAGTGACTTTCAAAAATCTGTTTTTCAAGCCCTAAATAAACCTGCATTGATCTTCGTCATGCTAGCCAAATCTATTCAGAAACACAGACGGATTGACAACAGCCGGACACACGTGCACAGACAGACACACCCAAAACGATAACCCCGTTTTCAATGGCGGAGGAACAGACGATCCAGTTCTGCCAGCCAGACAGGTCAAAAAGTAGGCCAGCTTTACTGGTTTAATAAACACGGTAGTTGAACAGCTCCATCTACCATGGCATAACAGGCCCTTCACCGATTCCGGCAACGGCTATGCTCTATTTCGCATGAATGTGGCACTTCTGAAGCTTTCTTCTTGGTGTCTAATGCAATGGGTGGAAATTCCCAGACGAAAGGACCGCAGAAGAATTACAGACAAGAAGTGAACCATCCAGCGCTGTGCTCGTCTTCCACTAGAATGAGGGTCTAATAGCACCGTGCTAAGGGTGTAAGATTGTCACAGCAAAGTGCAAACAAATTTCTAGGTATGCCAAAATTATATGAACATCCACAGATGCACCTAGAAAAACTGATGAAAGTAATACCATATCTAAGGATTTCGTAGGATTAGACTTTTTTCAACCAGTAGTTCATTCAACATGTGTTTGAAATTCTAATCAAGACTCTCTAGGAGTGAAAGAAGAAACGCGGCATCCCTCCTTGATTAATCCAACAGGGTACATTGTCAACGGCTCCAGTTGGAACAGAAGTTATGGATTTTTTTTCAAGCAATGATGCAATACACAGTCAGTGCGCATGCGCTCCCTTTATTTCCAGGACAAAGGTCACCAGCACCTGAAAAACCAGTTCATGAGGATATCTGTATTTTCCCTTCGTCTCACCGCAAGAGAATGCTGGACAGCACGTGAGTATATGAGCGAGCTGTGAGCACTGAAACATGGCCTACGCCTGTATAGAGAGGCGCATAAGTCGTCTGTTTGCCGTGTACGGAGGCTTCCTGGCAAGACACCCCCTACCCTTCCTTGTTCTGCCTGTACTGCTTGCGTGCGGCCTGGGAGCGGGAATGTATTTCATGGAGTCAGATTCGTCTGTAGAAGGATTGTATACACCTGAAAATGGACGGGGGAAAACAGAGCGTGCACTTGTTGAAAAGCACTTCCCGGTCAATGACTCAAGAGATTTTCAGGCTTCCAGGCTTGTAACGTTCGGTAGATCGGCCAGCGTCATTGTGACAAGTAAAGAAAACAACAACGTTCTGAGTTTGGCGGTTCTGTCCGAGGTCCAGACTCTCTACCGCAACATTTCCGGAATAGAAGCACGCCTTTCTAGGACTAAATATACATTTGCGGACTTGTGTGCCTTGTGGCAATCTCAGTGTGTAGTAGGTGGGTACCAGCTTCTCAACTTTACATTGGGGAAAGATGAAAACACGACGATTGGTTACCCCTGGACAAATCTACCTGATGGCACTCGGCTTTTCAGTGGAGCCACCCTGGGAGGGGTAACTCTCGAGTCGGGATCGGAGGACGTCAGCACCGCTGCCGCCTTCAAACTGACCTTCTACCTACGCAGTGAAGATTCGGAAGATGACAAACGGAGCGAAGAATGGGAAAAAGCCTTCTTGTCTTACATGGACAATTTTGAATCGAACATTATCGACGTTTCTCGAAGCTCCTCTCAGTCCCTTGAGAATGAACTGGCCAAATTGACAGTCCGCATCATCCCACGTTTCTCCATCACCTTCACGGTCCTCATCACCTTCTCCATTCTCTCCTGCATGATGCTGGACATGGTCCGCACCAAGCCGTGGCTGGGCATGCTCGGCGTCGTGTCGGCAGGCATGGCGGTGGTGTCCTCCATGGGGCTGTGTTTGTACTGTGGGGTCAAATTCACCAGCGTGGTGGCCTCCATGCCGTTTCTCATCGTAGGTGAGTGATGTTTCTACTAGTTTGATAACCCACATGGTTACGACAAAGTATTGCAGTCTTTGAATATGCGAAGTGCTATCCAACAATCTAGGTGATTATTCAAGGGATTATATTACATAGTTGCTGTATGCGGGATTTGGGGGATTATGCAAATGATATCTATTCCCAAATCATTCATCTCTTCACCCACGTGCCTCAACAACTGTCTCTGTGACCCTCCAGGCATCGGTGTGGACGACATGTTTATCATGCTGGCGGCCTGGAGGAAGACCCATCCTGGAGGTAGCGTGGAGGAGCGAATGGGCGAGACGTACGCGGAGGCTGCGGTCTCCATCACCATAACAACCGTCACGGACGGACTGGCCTTCGGCATCGGCGCCATCACAGTGTTCCCGGCCATCCGCATTTTCTGCATCTATACTGGGGTAGCCGTACTTTTTGATTACTTCTTCCAAGTAACCTTCTTCGGTGCCTGCATGGTATATGTAGGACGCCGTGAGAAAGGCAACCGGCACGCAGCTACCTGTATGCGGGCCGCTACTCCCAAAGAGGCCGAAGACAGGTCGGGTTGCTATCGCGTTTTCTGCACAGGAAACACAATGGCGGGAGTTAACGAGAAGGGGGAATTTTTGAGTAGCGACCACGCTGTCATGGTCTTTTTAAAAGATTATTTGGGGCCTTTCATTACCAAACCATGGGTTAAGGTTGTGGTCATGTTAGTGTTTACCGGGTACTTAGGTGGCGCTATATGGGGATGTACACAGGCAAGAGAGGGCATTCGTCTCAGTAACCTTGCTGCTGATGACTCCTATGTTGTGAGTTACAACAACAAAGATGATCAGCATTATATGTCTTATGGTGCCAAAATTTCTGTCGTCTTCACTGATGAGTTAGAATATTGGGATGTCACCGTCCAAAAACAAGTTGCCAATGCTCTCAGTCGATTTGAGGAAACGGACTTTACCTCAGGGAAAAACGAATCGGAATCTTGGTTACGTGATTACCTAGATTTCATCGATCAGTTCTCAAGTATCATCCCAGGTCTGAATGCCTCAAGCAAATTGCCATTTATTATAAACCTTAAAGATCGTTTTCTTACAGACCCTCGCTTCAAACGGTATGAGCTCGATATCCAGTTCAACGACAACAAGAGTAAAATTCTCGCCTCTCGTTTCCTCGTTCAAACGAAAGAAATTACAAATTCTGTCCGTGAGAAGGATTTGGTAATCAAGATGAGAGAACTTGCTGATCAGGGCCTTTTCCGAACCACGGTTTACCACCCTAGCTTTATATTCTATGATCAGTACATCGCCATCGTTCCCAACACCCTGCAGAACTTGGGTATCGCCACAGCCACCATGTTCGTGGTGGCCCTTGTCCTCGTGCCCCACCCCGTCTGTTCCGTCTGGGTGACCCTGTCCATCGCGTCCATCTGTACCGGGGTGGTCGGGTACATGACCTTCTGGGACGTCAATCTAGACGCCATTTCCATGATCAACATCATCATGTGTATCGGATTTTCAGTCGACTTTTCGGCTCACATCACTTACGCCTTCGTATCCTGTAAAGAAGACAGTAGTAATGCTAGATCGGTGTTTGCCCTGTACAGTCTAGGCATGCCCATCCTGCAAGGTGCCCTGTCCACAATACTGGGCGTGGCAGCCTTGTCGACGGCTCCCTCGTACATCTTCCGCACGTTTTTCAAAACGATGTTCTTAGTAATTCTGCTGGGGGCTCTGCATGGGCTAGTTATCCTTCCCGTGGTGCTCACTTTCGTAGGACAAGATGTTTGTGGAAACAAGCGCAAGTATTCGGTGGACAACAAACCTCCACCTGACGACCAGAATTGTTTCAAAAGTCCGCACGGACAAGATGGCAAGTTGGAAACGCAGCCAAAAGATGGTGATGTGGAACTCGCGAATTATCGGTGCAACAGTGGAAATACTACACACCTACCCACACCGAGTCAGTATACAAACCCTTCTTTTGAACCGGACGGCAAATAGAACTCTCGCAAGCACGCGCAGAGAGTATTAAGGACAGATAAACTATACCCAAACTAGAGAAATATATGTGTATGATTGCAAACGATCTTGGCATTTACCTTGGGTGTTGCATTGACTTAATCATTGGTATACATGTATATACATTTCGTGTCTTGCATACTTCGCGCAGATAGATAGGTAGGTAGGTAGATAGCCTCTAGCGACCAGCGTAGGTATCTCAGTGTGCTCCTCGGAGATCATCATATTTGGTATACGTCATCATAATGGTATCTCCCAGTAGTACCTTGCGCGCAGCGAGGTGCAGCAGGGCGCGTCCTGTGGAAGCCTACTACTGGGTGCCAGACCCACGCTACCTTAGTGGCCTAGTACAGAGTTAGCATTCTATCGTTAAATTCTTTATCGTAGTTAACTTTCAGAATTTTTGTAAAAAATCTTTTAGAAAAATGCCTGATGTTTTTTTTGTTTTTGAGCCTCACGATGTGTTGCCAAAGGACTCTAATTGTTTCTGTCACCTGAGAGGCGCGATGCCGTGTTCAGGTTGACTTCTAGAACAAAGAACCTGTCAATTCTGTAGTTTAGGCCAAATAGAAGATGAAATACATTTCACCATAGATTGCCCCTTGTATAGTAGAGATAGACTCATATATTTTTGCCATGTATTAAGTATATTTCCCCACTTTAGTTATTTGACTAGTAAAGAGAAATTTGTATTCCTTTTAACTTTTGATAAACCTACTCTAAGTAATCTCACAGCCGCATATATCCATACAATCACTACTAAGCGAGATGAAGCCGAAAAGAATAGAAATTAGACATTTATTTACACTCTTATATGTTCATATGTTTGTAATGTATATGTTTATGTTCATGTTCTGTACCCATGCTGTCATGTTCTGTACTTAGTTCTGTAGAACACAAATGTACAATAAAGGTCTTCATTCAATAAAAATTAAAGTGTATGGTATTCCCGCCAAACTTCACAGTGTTGGCTGATGATTCGTCGGTCTACCTGCTGTGGTCCCGAGGTAAGCATAAAATTACTTTCGCCATCCTTGAAATGGGGCATTTTACACAGAGCAAATATGCTTTCTGTTGGCAGAGGTTAATTTTTTCTCTATATGGTTGAGGTTAGATTTTGTGACACTTACTAGTATATACTATATATAGTGACACACTTTCACTCACGCAGTCAATTAACTGACTCACTCGCTCACTCTTTCACTGCTTTTGCATCCGGCCATTGTGGAACACGTTTGAACACTGGTTTGAACCATTGAAACAACTATTAAGTTTCGTAAACGTTTAACTAGGATTTACTGTTTAATACACTGTCCACATTAAAAGATAAAAGATAGAACATGCGATTTTTTTTATTTACTTCATCGGTCACCACAAAACAAGGCTCATGGGAGCCACTTAAAATGTTTTGGGTTACAGAACAGCCAGAGTGGACAGATGTTTGTTGACCTTAGACTTGAAGAGTTTAAGGTTATACTCATAGCCATAGGGGAAGCAATCACGAGGTAGCTTATTCCAAAGTGAAAGCTTCTTGGAAAGAAGCTTTCAGCATGGAACTTCCTCCTAAGAGGTGGTGAATGGAGGAAGAAAGGGTGATTTGCTTCGGTGGAAGTGGCAAGACGTGTCTTTGTTGAGAATTTTCGAAGTGGGGGCACTAGCGAATGAAGTTCCGGCACGGAGCATTTGCCGAGGAAGTAGCGATAAAATAACACTAGGCTTGCAACGTTACGCCTATGTGAGAGTGGTTGTAGCGTGGCGAACAAGTCACTCCCAACAAGATTTTGTAAGCGCTTTTGAACACGGTTGAGGCAGTTTAGGGAGTTCTGGGCAGCTCCAGTCCAGATATATGTGATAACAATATTCCATTTTAGGTCTAATCTGGCTCTTGTATAAGTATAAGATGGCTGAAGGTGTTATGTAATTAAATTTATATGTTGAAAACGAAACTCACTTTTTACTTGATTGTACAAAGCAAGACATACCTTCAAATACGTGATGTCAAGCAGGAATGAACGTACAGTGAACAAAATATTTACTTATGTTTCCCGATGACGTGTTTCAAAAAGAGATAAGAAACGGTGACTATTATAACTGTAGATGTTAAATAGAATATAGTATTTCTGTAATACATAGACTTTTAGTGACTTAGCGTTAGAATGTAACGTTTCGATGTTAAATACTATGTTTTATATCCTCTAGGCCTGGGTAAGAACATACAGTAAAGATTATTCAATTATACCTATACCAGTAATGGTGTTCGCCTATAAACCCAACATATGAAGAGGAAAACACATTTGTTACAAACATCACTCTACATCGACACTCATCAAACCTGCATGTAGCTCTAGGAACTGAAACGTAAGACAACGATAAAGCTTTACATGGAACAGATTTCCTTTGTGTCTCTCATCTGTAACGGTTACACGTTACAGATGAGAGACACAAATGAAATCTGTAACGTGTAACCGTTACCTACGTTGTAGAACGTGTCTCGGGTATGCTATCATGGAATGTAAATGACAATATTCAGTCCTACATTTTCCACATTCTAGTATGAGACGGTTGCAAATGTCTTAACTGGATGATTTAGTGTCCCTTCTAAATCAATTAGCAACGTTTAAAGCGTCACTCTAATACATTTTGGCGTCCACACAGTGAACAATAAATTTAAATTGTTTTAATTATTTAATGTAGAACTAAGCTCTTTTCTAGTTCCACATCACCACCACTGAGTAGCCATGACCCTGTTAAACCAACAACATGCTAATATCTTCACACATTTTCTCCAAATACGTATTGTGATACTATAGAATCACGAGGTAGACAACCTGTTTAATAACATGTTAAAATTATTTTATGAACTATCTTCCATCTATGAACTTGTAATCAGTAACATTAACAGCAAGATTACAAGAAGCTATCACCGTCACAGGAATAACAGGAATAAGTACACACTAGAGACCACTGGAGATTTGACGATGTGCCCCAGGAGTATCTGACTCAAATAGATTCCTTCAAAACTCCTCTGTTGCGATATTTTGTTTTGCCAGTTAATCTAAAGGACTTTATAGGCCAATACTGCCAGGAAAGCCACGGTCGCAGGAACGAGAAGAACCCTTGCATGGACCAGGACTCCCAGCAGACGGGTGACTGTGGAGAGAAAAAACAAACTCAGAATACTGGACGCGGTTCGGGGTCATCATACGATCCAGTCGCAGCGGTACTTACCCAAATGATATCATCTTTACTGTGCATTGACGACATCAAAATGGACTATTCATCGAGTTACTTAAGACCAACAAACGGCATTCGATTAAATAATGAAATAGAGAAATACAGGTTAGGCCACAGAAAATAAATTGTATGGATGACATCCTCAGCAGATTCCAAATCTAATGCCGAGCGAGCGGGCGAAATAAAAACAAGGCGGGCCAAAAAAACAAGGTTCCTACAATTCAAAACTTTGACTCAATCATTGTACAAATGGTTTTGATTCAGTAGGAACATCACATTAATGCGCGCGCTGATGTCATCCATAAAAATCACTTGTTGTGGCCCTAGTAGCTCTAAACAACCGAACCTATATTCCAACTTAGGCTCAAATGTATAACTGTGAACACTAAATAGGCTCTTACTCATAAAATGTAATGACGAAATCACTCGCATATAGAAAACATCATCACAAAAGCATAATGCTCTTGTTACTCTGTATCATACCTGAGGTTTTCGTGCTGTGTGGCGGTTTCCACACTGCTCTGGGATATTTCCTCCCGTGTAGTTTCCTCTGCCTGCTGAGGAAAGCCTCCCAGTCTGGCGGCTGTAGAGACAGCAGGATCTGCACGTGATTCCAGAACCTACGGATGGAAATCAACATGTCATCAATCAAGATAAATATTGGGTAAATCTAAGGAAGTCAAAGAGAACACAAAGAACTTTATGGGTAACAATTGGAATTTTATTTTGGAATAAGTTCCTTACTTGAAGTGAAACGTGTCCGGTTCACGTGACAGGCGGTTCTGGAAGCCCAGATAGAGGTCGTCCCAAAACAGCCCCTGCAGAACAGTTTGTCTGTGGACCCCGATCCTGTTCTTGATCTGGATGGACAAAAAAACCGACCCGATCGTAACGCTTAAGTGTATACTGTGCAGATGAAAAAAAGCAGGCCCGTCTCATGATGGAGATCATAATTGTAGGGAAGCTGGTCTGCGCTGGTACAATATGCTAAAAATTATATACTAAGTACTAGTATTGATCATTCAACAACATAGTTCCTTTGTCAGGCGCTGATTGGGACCCTCCTTCCCTCTCCAAAGGGCCAGTTAGGCGGCCGGGCAGCCCGTAGCGCGATTTAGGCAGGCTATAAATGAAGTTTATGCCATATCCTACTTATTCCTGTCTATCAAGGATATATCTCATGTCCTCATGTCTATGCTACCTTCCATACGCTGAACCCTGCACTCCCTTTCATTCGTCCTTTAATTCACTCGTCATAGAGGAAAAAGACCGGAAGAAAAAACGACAGTTTTCTGAAATCGTGACGTTACCTCCAGGTATGCATGTTCCCTGGCAGGACGCTGGCTAGGGAAGGACAAATCCAAGAAGTCCACAAGAAAGTCGTAACCTCCCTCCACGGAGTTGAAGTAGTCATCAGTCTCTATCATCTACAAAGTCCACCAGACCAAGTTATTCAGGAGAGAAACTTTTAAAGACCTTCAAATATCATTGCTGGGTGGTTCCGGTAAGGTGATTTAAAGATAATCTCCAGCCACATTCAATACAAGTCAATGTATTTATGAAATGAGCTAACTGTAGCATATAGCACATGTGAACTTACCCGAAGTACGAGGTTATAGTCTTTGAACCCTATCCACTCATAGTAGAACGGTATCCAGTCTGGGTAGGCAAAAATCTCGTTCTCTATACTCTCGTTGATCTTGTTGATGTAGAAGTCGAACTCCCAGCTGTCCTTGTACAGCTTAGTCCATGGGGGAGGGTCCACTATTGCAAGCCTGAAGACAGTAATTGATTAGTACAGACGGTTGATCAATGTCAAAACAAGAAAACCACTGTGATTCTAGAAACGCACTTTTGTATCTTTGTTAACACAAATGTATATTGATGTATGTGCTAGGCCTCGGGCTGAAATTTAAGTGACTGAATTTTGGGAGAGTTTTCGATCTACATACATATCAAAGAATGTTAAAAGAGCCTTAAAGTACTACTTGGTTGTAGCATGAGTGCCATCCTCCATAGTTTCAGACTAAATTTGTCCAGTAATATAGGAAATCAATATCTCTAATGTAGGCAGCTGACAAGTTGCCAGCGTCAGAGTGAAGTCAAGTGAACCGTTGGCAAGTCGAAAACAAATATCTAGTTGTGTTCATGGAACGTATTTTTCAAATGACCTACTAGTATTTGTTTATTTGAGTTTATCACTAGTACGAGTATGCAAGTGGAAGGGAGGACAAAACAGGTGCATTGACACCTTTACATGTTGTCCTCCCAACACTACATGTACAATGTAAATACAGATTACAATAATGAATACAACATTACATTTGCACCATCTTAATGAAGCTACTGAAAGAAGTTAAACGTCGTACCTGCGATCAGCTGGGTCACCAAGAGCCAGCGCCAGGTCCAGGGTGGACCCGGGCTTGGGAGTCCACGTCATCACGGAGTCCAGGTGTCTGTTGATGAAGGCCGCAAGTTGCTCTGGTTTGTTCTTGGGGTTATTGTCCAGGATGTACCTGATAAAGAGGTCGTGTGAATATAGTCCCTGTTACATTCATTGGTTTCTATTCTTGCCGACATTTTAAGCTGTTGTCGATTTCGATATAAAGATGTGATGCCAAGGTCACAATTCCCAACAGCCGGCCAGTGTGCGGGAACGAAAAGTATGATATAAAAGACAACAGATGACAAAATAATTGAAAAACTAATCATTATTTGCGTATGTTCTTTTGAATTGTCTATTTGTCGTTTATAAAGAAAACAGTCCGGCCACCCCCGGTTTGGAAATGTGACCTTAGCATGACAGACAAAATGGTCTTTAACTTCAAATTCTACTGTCTTCGGCTGTTTTCGATGTTTGATATTCTGTTTGTTTGTTTGTTTGTTTGTTTTGTTTTTGTTTCACGTACTTGTCCGTTGGATGTGCCTCCAGGAAGAAGCCGGCGAACGGGCAGTAGACTTTGGGGTTGACCTCACGAACCACTTCTTTCTTATGGAACAGCAGATTCTTCCTGTCTTTTTCCATGAACTTCTCTTTCCATGTCTCTAAAACAAAACCATGATGAAACAGGCAATGATTTAATCTGAAGAGCTCATAAACGGTTAGACATAATACTACGGCTAAACTTAGCTGATAAATTGTATAATCCCATAACTTTGTTATAGTTAAATCTTTATCTATATTATAGTATTACATAATGAAAATACTTGATAAAAGTCCAACTTCTCTTCCATTTCATGTAGAACACCATTAACGGCAGCTAATCTTACCCGTGTATCTTCCGCCTGAGAATGTCACGGGAAATCCAGAATTCCCCCCTGAAAAGTCACTCATCATGATGTCCACGTTCTTGGGTAGACGTCCGCCGTTAGGTGACACACAGTCCACGGTGTTCAGGATCAGGTGGCCTGGCGATGGAAAAATTATGGTAATGCCTTTAGGGGTTCCTTTCCTTCTTGTAGTGTAGCTACGTTCAGCCATGGGTGGTGAAATCAAGCCGGCCACTCGGATCATCATTTCTTAACTCTTCTGATATAGTCTCTGTCTTTTCTGGCTTACTAGAGTGAATTGGCTAACAATCACAAACGTGTTAGATGAGTAGTTAGGGGCAAAGACAAAGCACCAGAAACTGAGCCAAAGTTTGTGACTCTTGAGTCTAGAGGTCCAACGGGGCCAATCTGAGGCCTCGGTCTAAAAGTAGCACGGGTCAACGCTTTTAATACGATTCATCAGGAGTTTCCTTACTACCTTTTTTTAAGAAGGTTCAACACGAGTTTCCTCATCTGAACCAAGTTCGTTCAAGCTTCAGTCTCTCGTGTGCAGCAAAAGATCTCGATGAAACAAAACAAGAGAGACAAGCTGCTAACTTACCCTTGTAGTCGATCAAGATGCAGGTGTCAAACTCAGGATGCACCCCGTCCATCAGGATCATGAAACGCGTGTGTGCATTGATCTGTGAAATTTAGACTTGTTAGATATTTTGTCAGGTAACCGCATAGTATTTCTATTATAACCTGCTGTTCCTAATCCTACCCCTACCCCTACTTTCTTACTTCTCTACCTCCTTGCTGCACTGGTTCGCCAGGCTTACTTTCTGTAGTATGGCTCATTCACCCCTAAGAGGTTCTGCGACTTCACCTCGGACAGTAACGTATTCCTTCCATGCGATTTAACAGATAACCAGGCCGGTTTCTCAGTTCTTGTTTTTTTATTGTCCTTTGCTGAAGCACGGTAGTCAAACCTTTTCTCTTTTTACATTACAGTCCTTTTGCGCTATTGATCAATCTTTGCAATAAAAAAAATAGAGTAACAAAGGTATAACGAATGAACAAATACCTCTTGCCACACCCCAAACTTGCAGATGTTGATGCAGTTTAATTTGACCCCGCTCTGCTTCAGCCTACAGAACACGGGCACGGACGTGTCTCCCACGTAGATGGGGATGTCCGGGTTCTTCTTCGACAGCAGCTCTAGAGTAGGGTAGCTGCAGAGAACATGATATTTACAAATGCTCACTTTCTACATTTCTGTGTGCAATTAGGAAGTAGGAGAATTAATTCAAAGACAAAAGTCAAATCATGTAGTTTCTCAATGGCGTGAACTTCACATCCATTACGAAGGACTGGCTGACATGCAGTGGAGGTAGGTATTAAGTTAGAAAACGAAGTAGCAAACAACTGTGCATGTTCCTTCACCCAACCTTTTGCAAGAGAAAGGCCCTACACCACTCATCACCGTACACGGGTCTCCAACAACTCCATGGAATGCATGTTGAAGAGAACAGTAGGTCACCGTGAGTTTAAAAGAAGACATCATAAATGTTGCTAGTTTATACATGAAAGGAGAAAGTATTTTTTTCGTCCCAAAAGCAGATGGCTACAAAAGCAAATTCATATGCCTGTGTTACAGATGTTTCTTGTGGCAAATTGATCTTTGTTAGAACATACTAGTATATATATTACACAAAATATCGATGCGTATTCCGAACTTATTATCTTATTACCAGTTATTGGTGTTCAGCCTAAATGAAACAATGGACTTCATGTTCTTGTTCGTGGACCCACTTCCAATATTGCAATAATGGTAAATTATGACTGGTAGAATCTTCTGACAAATGTATTTCTTGCCAACCTGAGATGATCCGAGTGTTCGTGGCTTATGTAAATGAGATCGGCACGTGATAGCCTCTCCAGCCAATCAGCGGGCGGTTCGTGTTGCAGCCACCATCCCCTGGCGAAGGCGGGTCCGGTTAGCCATGGGTCGAAGAACATGATCTTGTCTCCCAGCTTCACCTCCATACATGCATGCGCGAAGAAGGTCACCTGTGAAGACACCAGAGATTAAATCTGCCATCTGTCATTCAACACACGGTCCTTCGGTCCTAGTTATTGGCTATAGCGCCGAAATCTCATAATTATTAGCAAATGTAGGCAGCGATAAAGGGAGTACTTAGGATGTGTGAGCTAAACCATGGATTTGCATTAGCACAACTAGTATGACACTGAAAGATCTTCCATTTGAAAAAAAAATTCAAAAGAATAAACATATCTAACAATAAAACTACAGAACGTCCAGTATCAACTCATGGAGAATGGAGATTGAGATTGGACGCACTTTGTCAACTGAGTAATCATACTGATGTGTAATTCCCTTTCCTGTGCTTGTATCTGGCGATATGTCACCAGAACATCTGCTTGGAGAGTAGCCTTTAAGTATAGAAAAAATACAGATGGATTTGCGGTTGTGTGGAAACATCTTGGCATAGGACTTAAATTTGAAAGGTCCAATTGTCCTATGAATACATGTATTTGTACTTGTACTTGTACTTGTACATGGACAGGTCTTGAGTATCGGAGTTAGACACTAGTACATGTAGTTTGATCCTACCTGCACCTCCCCAGGTCCAATCCTCTGCGGGGGCCTGCCGTCACTCTCCCACGGCTCAGGAGGGCGCAGCTCCACCAGTGCCAACCTGCCCTCCTCGTCTAGCTCAGGAACTGAATCAAGAACAATTATGTTTTCCTTATACTTTTGTATTTGGCTTTAAGTAAAGAGACTTTTTCAGAGTATCGATGCCTGTCCGACTTCAAAGTGGCAGGTGTTTTGACGGTTTGAAGGGGGCACACCCCAGTTTATTACTCCGTGAAGGAGGTCAGGACCTCCGGACGGAGTGTTGTAATCGGCTGATTTTTCATGTTCGCAGTCAAAACACTGGGTTCTCTTTGTGTAATCGGCACGCAATTTTATACGCCGTCTGCGGGCATGCCCGTGTTGATGCACGAATGTGTATTTTTGCCGTTGCTGCTTTCGCGGTCAATGTAATATCGCAGACGCACCCCTACAATTACGAGGCGAATTGGAATGGTCCAGAAAAACGCGTTGTTTGGAATAGCAGTGGGGGGGGGGTAAAAGTTCATGCAGATACGGGGTGGTTTTTATAAGTGGTTCCAGATGTTTTTGCCCATGGTTAAGAGATGCCAAGTTTTTTGGAAGATGTTCGCAGCCAAAACGCATTCTTCCGTACGTCGCATTTCTGTGTAATTTCGCATGTGGTGTTGCATTATGTCCGGGATGATGCACGTCTTTTTATTTTTACCGTAGCTGTTTTGATATTGAAGTAAATGCATATTTTAGAAACATCCCTACTTTTACAAT